CAAGTTACAAGTCCCCTGTGCAAACTCTCCCCCAACTCCAACTGGGAGCATCAAAGGGAAAAAGCAAAGAAATCACCCCGTTTCCAGTGCAGAGGTCCCAGCACACCCCTGGGCTAAGCCTGCCCAGCTTGGAGCTGGAGAGACAGATGCTCTGCTAGCCCTGTGAGTTATAAATAGCACGGCATGATGAGCCTTTCCCTAATTGTGTCCTTTCCAGATGGAAAGGAATAACAGATGGTTTCTCTGCATTCAGGCAGGGGCAAAACATCAGCCTCGGCCCCAGGGAAGTCAGGGCTCTTTTGCTGCAAGACAGGAGTTTTTAAGCATGCACAAGCAAAGAGGAGCTTGCACAGCTTCAGGGAAGGGTCTTCTCCACCTAAAAGGTGGGGGCCAGTGGCGGAGCAGCCCCTGCCTTTCCCCAAGCCCTCCCAAGGATGCAGATTGAAAACGCACGCTGCTGCTGCTTCAGTACAGCTTAGGGTTGAGCTTCACAGCCACTGCCACCAGCTGAGCATCCACCAGTTCTGAGGTACCACCCCAACACCCTTCCAGCTCCAGCCCTTGCACCCACACACCCATCCCCAGGCACGCAGCCAGCTTGACAGGAGCCCACGGGAGGGGAAGGCTGTACAGGAGGTTTAATATGCTACTATGCTACTACTTCCCCCCTACCCCCAGATGACGTTATTGGGCCTGAGGCCATCAGACCACACTTACCTGCTTTCTGCCAACAAGCCAAAGACCCCCCCAGAGTCCTTAAACCCATCCTTCCAGCCCCAAATTGGGGATCTCCTTTCCCCACTGCTCCTGAGCCATTGCCCTGCACCCTCCCACAGGGAGAGGGGATAGCTGAGCCCCCCAGTCCTGCATAGCTTCGTTCGTTGTCTTAACAAGTCCCTCACCAAGTTTTGCATACTTGGGCAGGCTCTGACTTCATTAATAGCTCCGCTGACCTTGTACCTGCAGCCCTTGCGCCAGCTTCGACACTACACTTTTCCCCACAAGGCAGCCATCATCTCATCTGCCCCCGGTTTTGCCCTACACTGGCAAGCGAGGCTCAATTTCGGGTGGCAGGCAGCAGGGGAGCTCGCTGACGTGCCTTGCAGCGTTAAGGACAGCTCCGAGACAGCTCCCTTGGCCGGTGGGCAAGCCCTGGCCAAGCCACCACGCTGCCTTCATCCCAGGACCACCGCATCCCTCTGATCCAAGCATCCTTCCTGCTCCCAGCAGCGCTCGGCTGCTCGGGCACGTCCAAGCTCAGGCAGCACACGGTGGGATGGAGATGGGTGGCACCGTGCCTGCCTCAGGGATGCAGCCCAACATCAATACTATGTCTCTTCCCTTGATGCCACCCCACAGCAAGGACAGGACAGCAAAGCTCAGCGCAGCACCTGCCGTCCCATACAGCAGCTCCTTGCCTGTCTTTACCCACTACATTTATCTTTATCACCTCAGAAAGCCATTTGTTTTCCTGCTGCGCAATGCAATTTAACTCCCTTTACCAGGGAAATAAAGGCTTGGTGCCAAGCTAAGTGCACGATACAGTGGTTCCGCTGGTGGCATCAGGTTCCCCAGATGCCCCCCTCACTTTGCAGAGGCAAAGACCAAAAGCAGGAGAGCAAAAGATCAAGATCAGCTGGATCCCACCCCCGAGATAATTTTACTTCTCAACCCAATGCAAAAGTCCAGCCAGGGAGGGAGCTGCTCTTCCAGAGCTCAGCTCAACTAAGGGTTTTCTTTCAGCCTCCTCTTATGGTTGGAGCCCAAATAGGAATATTGCCAGCTGGGATAAAATTAGCTTACAATTTAGCATCAAATCTGCTTGGTTGTGGACTTGACCAGCACAGTTTTACAATTAGCAACACAGTCAAAGGCTACTTTGCTACCGAGTTTTCCAAAGTTGGCTTCCCAGCTGCACCACGATATTATTTATCAGCTAAAGGAACTGACAGTACTTTCACATGGAAAAAAAAAACCAAACCAAACCAAAACAGAAACAAAACCAAACCCAAAACCCCCACACTACAGCAAGAAACAATTTGCTGGTAATGAGCAGAGTGCTCTGGAAATGATAGCTGCAAGATGCACAGAAATTCAGCCTCGATCTTGACAAGCCACAAGCCTGTGTTGTCCCCGTGTCCCCCCCCAGCAGCAATACCCACCGTCCGTACATCCTTCAGCCCTAACTGATCCACTCCTCCATTAGTTGCCTTGCATTTGCCAGACCACGACCTCTGCAGCAGCCCAGGAACAGCGTATCTCTTTAAATATCTATTTCATTGAGTTAATGAACAAGTTGCTGCATCTGTTTTTCTCCCTAGCAGCTGCGCACAGGGAGAATTTGCCTGCTCTGGTCTTTGTTTTTTTTTAATTAAGTCTGGATTGCTGCTTCTAGCTGCCCCCCAGCAGCATCTGCTGGCTGCAGAGGTTCATGTCTTGCATGGTCCACCACTACCGTCATGCTTCCATGGCCACAGTGCTCCTCTTGGGGGGAAAAGGCTCGCCAGAAGAGATAGGTCTGCTGGACCCAGTGGGATAACAGCATCCTTGCCCAAAGGCTCACCAGCATGGGTGTTGGGTGGTGACGCAGCCCCCAGTTAGGGTGGGCAAGCCCCAGCCCTTCCCAAGGAGACAGTGTAGATCTCCGAGTCTCCGTTTCTCCACCCGCCAGCGCAAATTCTTAGAGGCACCTAACACACAAGTTATTGCCTGTGTCCTCCACCTCCAGCAGTGCGTTAGATGTGCTCAACATCTCATCACCTTCTGAAGGCAACAGCTACCAATGAAGTTTGAGCCCCATCCACACAGGGACCACAGATAGTACCGGTGACAACCCTGTATCATGGCAGGACTTGCTTGCGAGGAACCCAAAAGAGTGTTTTACCACCTGCTTACAGAGCAACAGAAGGTGGGGACACCTCTGCCATCAAGCCGGAGCATGCATCACCTTGTTAGAGACACTGCCACACTCATCCACAGAGACAGCCTGCCCCAGTTTCGGAGCCCACGAGGACTAGACATAGCTCCCCAACCTTCTTCTGAGCATCCAGTCACTAGGGGCTTTTTTTAATAGAAAAAGGAGTTTACTGTTTGTTCCTTTCCCTAGCTATGCTGTATGCCCTCAGCACATTTCCATGTAATCTCTGCTGCTTCTGACACCACCCAAATCCCAGCCCCTGCTACCAGCACTGCCAACGGAAAAGGTGCCTAACCCAGCATTTGTCATCAGTGGGCTTCTCTGGTGTCAACCAAGAGCGTGGTTGAGGGTTTTTATTTTTTTTTTTTCTCCTCCTCTTTGGGAGGAGAAGGACTAGAACTGCTTTAATGATACAGAAAAAACCCCAACATTCCGCAGATTCATTTCCAAAGCATCATTTGACATCACATTTTTATCACGTTTACAGTTCATTTAACCCTGCCTATCCTTTTAAAGACAGAGGGAAGTTACTTCTCGGGGAGTAACACTCAAGCAAGAAGACCACTTTGAAAACATCTAAGTGGCATCACCTGAAGTCTTTTTAATGCTGCTTCTGATCAGGCAAAACCCCTGTACCAAGCTGCTAACAGTCACCATGGGGCTGCAGAGGAGCCTCCAAGCAAGACCCAGTGCAGCAGCAGTGGTAGTGACGGTGGGATAAGCTCTGCTGGCATCAGGCACCCAAATTCCCTTGCACACCCAGAGCTGCTGATTCCTCCCAATTAAAAAAAAAAAAATAAAATACTCTGCACGGCCCCGTTGCCAGAATTGGGCACTTCCCTACAAGACCACAAGCTCTGAGATGACAACTCCTCCAGGCTGATGGGAGCCCTGTTGGCCCTCAGGGCTTACCTGGGAGCAGGTCCCCGTCCAGGGAAGGCAGTGAAGTCACCAGGTGATGGCACACATTTGGAGGGTGCTCCAAAGTAGCAGGGAGTCTTGCTGGCAGCTTCAATGGAGGAACCAAAAGCATCATCCAGAAGCAAGAGGAGAGTCCTTCTTAGAACCCGCAGGAGCTGGAAGCCAAGCAGAGATGTCAGCACCATGGGAACACCTCACTCAATAGGTCCCTGGCAGCAGGGACGCAGTCCCACAGCCAAACCAGCTCCTTCCCTAGGCCACGTCCCCCTCAGAGAGATGCTCCCCTAGGATGTCCAACCCCAAACCCCACTCATGCACGGATGGGGGAAGATAGCAAGGAGCCAAGCCACGCTCCTTCTGCACTTGTGAAGGCAACACAGTCCTCCCAGCTTCCTTCATTTTAACAGCAGCCCCCAGGGGGAAGCCCTCCCTTGGTACAAACACAGCCTGTAACGCACCCCCCTCCCCAATGTCTCCAAAAAGCACCTTTCCCTGGAAGCACCCCCTAAGTTAGGGAGATGCTCCAGCAGAACCAAAGAAGGAAGCCCGACCTGCTCCCTCACCAAACACCCTGCTCCCCTCCAACACAGCCCCCCAGGCAATTTACAGGCTCTGGATGAGCTGATGCAGCCCACCTGGCCCAACACAGGGTTCCCCACCACAGGACTTGTCCAAAAGTCGTGGGAGGTGAAGAAAGCCCGCCTCAACCCACAGCACCCACTCCCCCAAGCACGTAGCTATGGTTGACCGCGTCCCCTGGGCCAGAGCATGGAAGTGGGGAGGGTGGTGAGGGCAGGTTTGGGGTGGGAGAGCAGAGACATGGGCTGGGAACCTCAAGAAACTGGGTTTCAGCAGCTGCTTTGCTCCTGGCAAAGCTTGCTGGGGTGACACAAGACCTTCCAAGACTTGGGGAGCCCACACTGGGACCAGTCTCCCCCTATGCCGTGCCAAGAGGAAGACTCCCTCCCCTCATACCTCAGAAATACGGAAATACAGGGGCCGTCAAGACCAGTGTTTTCATCACAGAGACCCAGGGGTCACACATCCAGACATCTAAACCTCATTTTTAAGCACTGAAACATCCTTTAAACTCAGCTGGGAATTTCCAGAGAGTACATGTGCAAAGGGACAGCATGTCACACACAGCGTCATTTGTTTTAATAAAGAAGTTATTTTGCATTTATTTATAGCAGTGAGAAAAGTGCTTCAGAAAAAAAATACTGCAGTAAAGGCAAGCTACAGTAATGCCATCATCCCAGTCCTAATATTTATACATAACGGGGCACTGTCAGATTAAGAAGCTGTTCATTTTACAGTAGAACAAGTTAAAAAAAAGTAATTGTATGGTAAAGAGTAACTGGGCTTTTTTTTTTTTTAATGCTTTATTTCAATATTGGTAACTATCTGCATGTTCTGAAATTCTCAGAAACTAAAAACTTCCTCTAATATTTAGACTGCAAAACACCACGGGCAAGATTTTACGTAAAAAGTGTGTGAAGGTTTGTTGTTTTTTTTTTTTGAAAGCACTCTTCCGTCCTCCATTCTCTCCCCGCAACGAAACAAGATACAATTAAAAAACCCCCAAACCACAGAAAAATTGGTCCCCGCACTACTTGAGTGCCTCTACGAACTGCTGTTGCTTTAGCAAACATCGCAGGCTCAGCCCAAACGAGTTGGTCCAGTGTCAATCCTGACAACAGTACGTGCTTCGCTTCGTGTACTTAACCATCAAAACATCAAGCTACATACACAGCTAAAACCCTACGACACCTTGGCCTTTGTAAGTGAATAAAGCAAAATGAGGCGAAAATCGGTGTAAAGGCGACTGGAGCTGGCAAAGGAATCTGAGTGAAGATTGACAGCAGAGCAGCTGGGTGTCTGGGGGAGAAGGGCAGCCTCGTGGCTTGGTTTTTAGGCCGTTGGCCGCACACAGGCAGGCAGGCCAGCCTTGTTTCGAAGCAGATTCTGTAGGTGTTCACGCATGTGTCAACAAATCAAGCCGAAGGATGCGATTTCTGCAAGCTCACCCTTCTCTAGCCACTTGCACCACCGATGGCTGCGAGGCCTGCGAACGTGTCATTTAAAAGGAACAAAATGTACTCGCATAAAAACTTTGCGGATGTCAGCTTTATGTAAAAAGGCCGCTCCCAGAGCTACCCATTTTCGCCAACAGCTGTGACCAGAATAGCTGTACCTCCACCTCCTGTTATGCTCACAACCTTCAGCTGCCCCAAAGCATCTTCTGCTGTGTCAGCTGCTGAGCATTTCTCATTCTGCATCTCGTTAGTTATTTTTCTGGGCTGTCCCTGAGACAGTGAACAGTTCTTCTGAAGGGTGCCCTTCTCTCTAGAAACTAACCTTCGTCAGGCATCACACTGCTCGATGGGGAACCTCCTGAAGGGCCTGACTGCGCTGTGCCCCAGCTACTAGGGAGGGGGGGCACAACTACCAAAATTCCTTTGCACCAGCATTAATTAAATCTTGTAACCATTCCATTGGTTCCGTGACAACTTCAAATAGGTTTTTACTGACAAGTGGTTTGGTTTTTTTTTTTTTTTTTTTTTTTTTAAACAGTCTCTTCCATGGCAGTTTTCCTCATCCAGCTGAATGCAGCGCGTATCTTGGTCACTGCTCCTCCAAAGTCAGCCGGCATCTTCCGTCTTGTGCAGTGTTGTACGATTCACAGTTTTTGCACTTCATGCCTAGGAGATGGAACTGTACTGTAGACCGGGCATGGCAGTCATTGCAAAGGATCTACACACACAGGAAAGAGAGAGGCTTTAGCATCAGCAGGACACTCAACAATATGCTGCAACCATGCATCTAGCAACCACAGAACTGATTAGCCATCAGGAGACAAAGCAGAAAATATCTTCCTTTTAAAGACAGCAGGGCTGATTTAACTCTTCCATTTGTAACTACTCAGATCGCTTTGTATAATCACAGAGAATTTAGTTTTAGTATGGCAAGGTGACTCCTTGCATAAGTCAGGGAGGGACATGCTTTGGCTTCTCTTGATGTAGGAAACCACCAGAGAAACCCTCAAGCCGAAATGAGAGCAGATTAACAGCAGTGAGCAACATTAACTAGTCTGCTGTGCAAGCCAAGCAAGTGAGCTTTCTTCTCAAAACAGGCAGTGAAGAAACAGAAGTCTCTATGTGCTAGCTGTGCACAAATCAGTAGCTGAGTATTTCTGCAGAAAACCCACCATGTTTTGTCTGGAACATGAAGCTCCAAGCTGTTAAAAACCAAATGTCTCTGCTTTTTGCTATGACAGCACCTAACACTATTGGAGAAAGCAAGATACTTCCAAAGACCACGCCACTTCTCTGCTGTGTGATACTACAACACTAAGAACTTGTGGTTTTGGGGTTAGTTTTTTTTTTGGGGGGAGTGCAGGTGGGAGTGGTTTGCGGGTTTTTTGGTGTTTATAAACCCAGCAGATGAATACTGTAAGCCTATACATGACGTTTCTTCATCACTCCTTAACTTGACTTCTGATCCCTGACAAGTTCCTAGTGCCCTCTACTGTCAGTAATGCAAAGGCACAGATCTGCCAAGAACAGAGACATGGGCACAAGTCTCATCTCTTACCTCCACCATCATGTTCTGGTACTCTGTGGGCATAGGAGTCTGCGCTACTTCATCATCCAGCTGACGCCAGTACCTTGTCATATCTAAAGCTGAGTGCATGCACAAAGGACACCTGTAACCTCTGGCAGAAAGTGAAAAAAAAAAAAAAAAAGTCTAAATCAGAATATGGAGTAGGACCATGAAACAAGTGCATCTAAAAGGACAAGTTTCATATCATACCAAAGAATCAAACCACGAATCAAAAAACTTGCAAGAGAACTGGAAATTAAAAGCCCCTTTTCCCTTCAGGACTTGGCTTTAAGGCACTGGGTACAGGATTGGCATTGTGATCTTTACCTCCTGAAGTAATCTGTTTGGACTACAACAGTATTAAGAGGAGATATTTAGAAATACTTACTCCTTTAGCATGTCCTCGTAACATGTTCTGAAAAGAAAACACGATGAGAAGTTCAGTAAGAGGAATGCAATTAATGACTGGTAACACATTTGAACTGAACAAAGGGAAAATGTGCACAGCTATACCCAAACCAGACGTTAAAAAATATCCTGAGTGCAACTGAAAAGAAAGATTCCCAGCAAAATCACAGGGAATTTAGGCAAAAGGCCAGAGACGAAGCACATCTGATTCCATTCTAAGGTCTTCCAACCTAACGTGAGGGAACAGTCTCAACACTATGACAAAGACTGTGTGGTTCAAGTTAGCTGAAAAAATAGTGTGATGCATCACAAGGTAAGATGGACAGAAGTTGAAGGAAGATTCAATCCATAGAGACCTACGTCAAACACAGGGACAATGGGGGGAAAAATAAGAGGGCCAATGGAGTAACAAAAAGCTGCATCTCTAAGACAAGACAGAAGCAGGAAGGGAAAATGGAAGGGAAATATGGTAATTATTCTTTCAAACGTGCCCAGATCTACATATCACATCACCTGAAAATCCTGATAGAGGTGACAGTTTTTGTAGTGCAACAGAGCACTCCACTGTCTTGCAGGGCTGCCTAAGACTAAAACTTACCTGATAAGCCACCACCACCGTCTTAAAACCACTGTGCAACTGCTTTCTGCACCAAGGAGAGACTCCTCTACAGGATTCTTGAAATTTTAGTAGTAACAGAAGGAAATTCAGCATGGGAAAACTTAGAACAAACAATACACGGGTCCTGCCGCCACTGCCAAAATTTATTGTAGAAAGAAGACAACCTTTCTAAGGAAAGTATTTCCTCATGAAACAGAGACTATCCCCTGCTGTGCATGTCCCATAAAAACCAGCCGTAAAAGCTGTTACACACTAACCAGGCCTGTAGTGCTGCTGAAAAAACACCACACACCAGGCAGCAACTGTTCCCCATTCTTAAGTATCTGTAATGCTTTACCTGTGAAGAAGGTGACCACATGGCAGAACGTGAGCTCCAACACGAGATGTGTGAATATCCTGTTCCAAGATGAGCACCAGAGAAAAGACAAGAAAATTAATTCAAACAACAGTCAAAAATACAGCCATGCACAAATCCAAGGGATGAAAAAAAGCAACTCACCTCCAAACATATCGGACAGTCCTGCCTGGAGACATTTTCAATACACTTTGCAAAGACAAAAATAACCCAATGTTATTCTACTGTACGGATACCTGCATTTTTCTAAATTTTAAAATGTCTTTAAAATGGTTAGAAAAGATGTATGAAACATTACTGGTTGCATTTAGGTTTGAAGTTCTGAAAATTAACAGGTGGCTTAGCATATTAAAACCCAAACAGCTTCAAAGTACACATAAGAAAGGGCTCCCAGAACTACTGCAGTGGCAAGCAGCCTAGCTTGTCCTATACTGCATCAGGAACAGGAGCTCACACTTACATGCTGCCAGATCTGCAATCAACAGCTCCTTTTAACAGCAGAGAAGACCAAGACGTTTATTTCTTATAGCTTCAACTGCCAAGGAAGCCAGCCCAGAACTGCTCTGTGTTGCTGTTAGGTGCCCTTAGAGAACATGCTGCTCCCCGTGTCCATACGGCCTTGGACAGAGCTGAGGCACTACCAGCTTTCGTTTTCAAGGTGTTTTTAAGATACGGAGTTAAGAGGTGTATTCTTACCTTGTGCTTTCCTCGAAGACTCAAGCTTAGACATAAATTGCATTTTGAACAGTGGAAAAAATCTTCCTTTGGACCAATCCTGAGGAGAAAAAACGTCAGGCCGAGGCCGGTTCCCTCCGTCCCGCCCAGCCCCGCTCCCCGCCCGCCCCTCACGCACCTGCAGATGCCGCACTCGGCGCAGTGGTACTGCTTCTTGTCGCGGTCGAAGAGGTGGCAGATCCCGCAGTAATACTCGCCGAAGAGGCTGTGGCAGCCCTCGCAGCGCTGCTGGGCCTGCAGCCGCACCGGGGAGGGAGAGAAGCGGGTAGACAGCCATACAGTGCGCGCCCCCCCCCGCCCCAACCCGCCAACATGGCGGCGCTCCCCCCCTCACCCCCCCCAAAATGGCGGCTCCCTCTGGCCAGCCCCCCGCACCCACCTTCTGCAGGAGGCGGCAGCGGGTGCACTGCACCTCGGCGACGCGGAAACGATCCAGCCGGTGCTCCTCGGCGCCATCGTGGCACAGCCGGCAGGCGTACAGCTTCCCGCAGCACGGCGCCTACGAACGGCAACGCCTCACCCTCAGCACCCGGCCCCGGCCACCCCCGCCGCCCGGCCGCCCGGCCCCGCCGCCGCCTCACCCGCAGCAGGCAGCCGCGCCGGTAGTGCTCGCAGCCCTCCGCCTCCCCGCCCGCCGCCATGGCCGCCCCCGGCCCGCTCCGCTCCGCTCCGCTCCGGCCGGGCGGCCCCGCCGCTTCCGCTTCCGCCGGCGCCGCAGCGCGGAGCGGTACCGCTCGCCGCCTCCAGAGTAACTCCCCCCGACAACCTTCCTTTCTCCCTTTCCTCCCCATCTTCCGCAAAAACTTCCTTTCCCCGCCCCACGAAGTCTTCCTTTCGCTCTCCCATTCCCCTAAAACCTTCCCCCTCCTCCCTTAACCCATCCCTTACGCCCCTAAACCCTTCCCTTTCCCTCTCATCCCCCTAAAACCTTTTTTCCACCCTATTCCCCTAAACATTTCCCTTTCTCCCACCCATTCCCCTTAAACCTTCCCTTTCCCCCCCCCCAATTCCCCTTAAACCTTCTTTCCCCCACCTCATTCCCCTAAAACCTTTCCCCCCCTCCACTCCCCCCTAAAACCTTCTATTTCCTCCCCCTCCACTTCCCTAAAACCTTCTCTTTCCCCACCACCTTCACTCCCCTAAAACCTTATTTCCTCCCCCTCCACTCCCCTAAAACCTTCTCTTCCCCCTCCCCTCCATTCCTCTAAAACCTTCTCTGTCCCCCCGCCACCATTCCCCTAAAACCTTCTCTTTCCCCCCCATTCCCCCAATACCTCCCCCCCCCCCCCCCAAAAAAAAAATCTTGGCTGTCTGATGCAGGATAAGAGGTTTTACAGGAGGAGTTGTTGGCCATTTCCAAGCCAAGGACCCACCACCCACGGGTGCTGTGGCTGAGTATCTTGGTGCTTGTGCCAGGAGAGGGACCCAGCCCCAGCTGGGGGCTGCTCCCTCGGCTGGGGCCTCCGTGAATTCTCAGTAGGATCAATTTTAGGTGAGTAGCTCGGTTGTATTTGCCCATGGCTAGCTAAATGACTGCTGTGGCCAGCTGGGAACATTTGCTATGGGTACAACTGGGCTACCCCGGAGCAGTTCATAGCGGCGAAGGAAAAGGAAGGCAAGGGGAATATAACAGTGCTAGCACCAGTGGGCCAGCCAAGCTGGGGTGGGAAAGGGCACACTGGGTGAGCGCGGTCAGCTAGGTGCTGTCCGGATGCTGCTGAGGGACAGGAGGAACCCTGTGCTTCTAAATGGTTGCAAGAAACATGGTGTCACCTGTTAAATAAAAACTGATTGAAAAGTCCTATTTTTTTCAATGCAGGTAATGCCACCGATACAAGTGAGCAGATACAACACCAAGTCCAGGGAACACTAAGTGAGTGCACCTTACGTTTGTAAGCACACACTAGTACCAAGAAATCTGGAATTCATATACTCTTTTTTATTTACAAATTTTAGCATACATGTCAAAACAGCATTGCCTCGAAGCTCTAAATATGATGACATTCATACTGTGTTCTGCCGTGTCACATTGATGGGAAAGGCTGTATTTTGTGGAAAGACAAGTTCCAAAATTAACTCTACCATACAGGGGTGTGAGCTGTGACATCAGCCTCGAGCTGCTGGGAAAGAGTTGTGAGCAAGGCAGGGACACCGTAGAACTGACTACAGCCAACTTGAGGACAGTTAAGCAAAATGGTCTCGTAACAGTCCCAAGTGATGCCATCTTTCTCTCCCCACAAGCCACTGTCAAGTTTTATGCTTACATATCCCACTCCACTCAGGGACCTAAAGGACTGATGACTTAAGCGAGTTAGTGAGTGCTCACAGAAGCCATTTCACATGCCACCTGCTGCACGTCTCAGTATTTTACACTGATATTCCTCCTCCACCATTAACAGAATTCAGATGTTTATCCAGTGCAGCCAGACAGCAGGCCCAGTTAAACACCTGAAAGACAACTGCCCAAAGACTGGGGGACAAAAGCACAGAGCGAAGGGAAACCTAACACACGGTCACATGTGCTGCTGAGCGTTAGCAAGGGTTTCAAATGAACAGTTGGGAACATTACGCATTTAAACGTTGCATTTCTTGCACAAACATTTTCTTCACTGGCATTTTTGTCACTGCAAAGTTGTTTTCCAATCCAGATCAGGTAGCTCACCAAAACATGGCAAATTTGGCAGCTATCTACTCACTTCACTATTCATTTAAAAAGAAAACCCTCCAGAGGGCAGCAGTTAGACAAAAGAAGGCCCAGCTTCCTTCAAAACCCTTCAAACCAGCTTCTGCCCTCGTCAAACACCAATAATCACTGTTTTTCCCTGAGCAACCTCACGACAAGACCTGGCCCTAGGCCAGAGAGTCAACATTTCAGGAGCTGTTTTGGATGCAAGAAATCCAGCAGCAAGGGCAGTGCGAGCTCTGTCCTCGGACTGGACCTGAGCCACCTCCCGTGGCAGTCCGCTGCACTAACACCAGAGTAAGGGATCCTCCTCCCTCTTGCAGAGACTTTGCAGCTTTAGCACCTGGAAATTCAGGTCAATTGTTCCCACTGTTTCAGCCACCTGCATCAAAAGGAGAAAAGCAGTATGATGTTACGGACAAGCTAACAAAACCGCAGAGGTACCCCCTGATCATATGCTTCCTTTATTTTATTACTTGTCCTTACCTTGCTAAAGCTGTGCGCTTACACCTCTGTGCTTCACAGATGAGACAACTTTAGTAAGGTGTCTTTTTGCCTCACTTCTATTATCAGGATTGCTTCCCATCCCAATGGTTTTCTTCTTTCTCCCTAGCAGCATTAAGCCATCACATCACGTAAATACAAGTGAGTGACAAATCCACTCATACAGATTAAGAGCATGTGCAGCATTGATGCAGAGATTTCAGAGTCAGAAGTTACTCCCTCTCTTCACAAAGGAAATAGCAGCGCCCAAAAGAAAAAAATAAGCCGGACAGTTTCCACCTGCATGTTAACAGTTTTGCCATGACCTGCTTGTGGCTCTCTGTAACTAACATCGAGCAAGAGAGGAGGGAGGCTGCAGTGGCTGGTGGTCCCTGTGGCCACAGGGAGAATCCCCAGAGAAGCAGGTATGTGGTCACGTCCAGGCTGGCAGCACCAGCATACCCAGAGCACTGCATAAAGCCCAACTATGCAGGACACAAGGTTCCAATAGAGCCGGTGAGATTTTGGAGCACAGCCTCTCAAGAACCCTTCCAGAGCACCCCATCTCCTTCCCTCTTTATTATCTCCAACTTCTTCTCCCTCTGGAAGGTGCAGTCCTTCTGCCCAGCTTCAGTGAGGAAAGAGGTGTGATCATGAGAGTAAAACCCCTCAACAAAGCACTGCAGTTCTCACTTTCAAGAGGATGAGACAAACTCCAACACATACAGCAGACTCCCTGGAAGATGCTGAGCAACAAGAGGTAACAATACCCCCAGTACAAAAAAGCAAAACAACAAAACCCACCCACATAATTTTTTCTATGAATTTTCTTTCAGACAAAATCACTTCTTTAGAGAACTGCATGTCTTTCAATGGTCAGATGAGAAACTATTAAAACCACACCTAAAAGCCTCAGCTTTAAACATTCTGGAATGCTAAGATGCAATGCTAAGTGAATGTGCAAATAGAGTGGTAGAGTTCAAGCTTAGTACTTCAATCTGAAGACCACAAGTCAACCACAGAGCCAGGACTTTCTTTTCCTAAGCTTCCTTCTCTTCCAGACTCCTCTCGCATGCTTGGAGAGCACTGAGGTATCAACAACTACATTAAATACGTTTTACATTGCATGACAGTTACTAAAATTTTTCCCTAATATTAAGCTTGACAAGCCCCCCAAAACACTTTTCTCTCTTCTTGCAAGCAAGTCCATTTTCTGTGATGCACTTGACAGTGCTGTACATATAACCCATGTTTTCCACTCATGTGGAGGCAGCCCATTTCCCCTTTTTGTTATTCTATCGGCTTGCTCAACCCCCAACTTCCTGAGCTGCTTAATTTCCAACAGAGATGCCCAGAACTTCAGCTCAGGAAAACGATTTACCTGCCACAGTCAACTTCAGTATCCTTAAAGCAAGCTGTGCACTGCCCTCAGTAAGAGGTCTGTTGTAACTAGGTGGCCTAACCAAGGGTAAAAAGGCTTCTCCCATTGCACCTCCCAACTAGGTAAGTGTTCATGGAACGATCCTTTTGAAAGACACCAGAAGACTACACAGCAGAAATTGAAGCTTCCAGGAGGCTACACTCCAGAAATTAAATCCTACCTTTTACAGGCAGGTGTGATCTCCTCCACAAGGCTAGTGCTCAACTCTGGGGAAGACGGCTTCTGATGCATCAGGCGTCAAGGTCCCCGACAGCTGTAAATTGGGAAAGAAAAAAAAAAAAAAAAAAAAAAAAAAAAAAAAGAGGGTCCATTTCCAAGTGTAGTATAAATAGAAAGAACAATCAGAATGCCAACATGTAAGTTAAAACAAATCGTTCTTTGATCAAATCAGACCTCAAAAATACAGTCTGCCAAATCTCAGCTGGAAGCAGGCTAGCCAAAGTGACCTCCTATGGAATTACTTACCTCTCAAACACGTCAATGTTACTGAGGAACTAATCTTTAAGAGCCTTGCAAGTTTTCCTCTTCTCTCCCTATGCCTGGCTCCCACGCCTCCTCCCTCGCTACTGCACTCAGCCCCTCAACATCTAACACAGCCAGAACAGTTTTCAACACACTTGTCCCTCATGGTCTCTATTCAACTCTGGTACATCAGGTTTACTACCACCTTGACCCAGCCAGCTGAAACAGCAACAATTCACGTTGTCTGTCTGAGCAGAGAATCTAGTATTTAGCCAACTGCAGAGACACAAATAGTGTCCCAACGTTTCATTCGCGACCCTTCTCTTTTCCCCCAGCATAAGGCCTCAGGTCCTTTTAGTTTGACAGTTAAGAAGCCAAGGCAAGTTCTGCTTCTGTTAAGTCACCGGAAATTTGTGGGTCATGCTGTTCAGAAAGACCTGAACCAACGCAATACAGAGCAGCACAAACCACTGTATTGCTTTGTTACCTGCTGTGAGGCCAAACTTGGGTTATGCAGGTCAATAGCAGCAAGGGAAGGGACACGGGACTCTGAAACTGTTTTATTTTCCTTTTTCAGAAGCCGGGGATGCCACGCTGCAAAACACAACCAATGCATACAATGTTAAGGAAGCAAGAGGTGACTGTTGTAACGCACACTGCTTCCTGGCACTTATTTAGTATCTGGGTTTTATTTAGAGGACATCAAAGCTCATACCTTCCACTCCTCTCAGTTCTGGGAGGTGATTTAGTTCTGGCAAACGCACATCTGTTTTGGAGAATTCCCATTTTTTCCTATTTGCCTGAAGTATGTTTTTTTCATTAGTAACCTGTAATGAAGGGCATAAATCCCAGCTCATGAAAATATAGAAAAAACAAAGCTAATCTCTAGCTTAATAATTAATCAACAAGCAAGATTAAAACTAATGCATGTGAAAGAATCCATTCTACTCAAGTGTCATTTATACACTACAAACAATGGAAGAGGCATGGCAAAAAAACCCAATCACCTAAGCGGGACTGCTTCCAGAGAGACAAAATACAACACTTGGAGAACGGCTTGGCTTTTTACAGCCATCTGTAAAAAGGAAAATGCTCCTGTGGGTGTGGAAAGAATATTGTCTGGGCAGTGAGTGCAGTGGAAAGCTTTTCACATGTTTTCATTATCAATTTTTAATGCATTTATGACATGACTAAGTAAGGTCCTGACCATTTTAAATCCAAATCCTCGATTCTGCTTCAGTAGAACAGCACACTTCGTCTATTTTTCCTGGCAAGGCAGGAGGCAAATGGATATATTTCACATCTCACAGATACCCTGTGTTGGACTGCTCCCTTCATTTAAAATTTTCCTCTGATACAAAATATGTTCCATGTAATAACTAGTGGCAAAGGTTAACAGATGATACACCTGTATGAAAAAAGGGGTAAGAAGGCTGAAACGGATGGGATTCCTGACAATAAAACACATACTTGGGTTCAGAATTTATTTTTGCTTTGCCAAGGAAGAAAAACAGACTCACCGATGTCAAGCTTACACTGTAATGGCCTGTTGGAGAGTGCTTCCGTTGCTTTAGAAAAGGGTTCAAGTATTTTTTACTCTTTTCATCAACTCTGTAACCAAAAATGCCCCAAACTTTTTATTAACTGGGGTAACACAGTGAATATAAAAACAACAAATGCAAGACATCCAGAAACACTGTCATTAAATGCTTAGAAAGAAGGGTCACGGGAAGAATATCCTTCACGAGCTCAGTTAACAGAGAAGCTTGGTCCAAAGGACGAGCCATGAGTGAAAGGCAGGCCAGTGTCAGAGCAGCTGGCAAACAGCTGCTGTTCAGCAGAGCTTTGCCCTGTGCAGAAACACAGGGACCCTGTGCCTGTGTGGACATGCACAGCTGCTCAAGGTGAGGCTGGCCTTTCTGATCCACATACAATCCTCCACCCAAGAGCTGTTCCTAGCCGTGTCTTGTCCCAAACCCACATCTCGTGTTCCCACATCACCACCCTGCACCTCTCTCGGGACTTGACAGTTCCTTGGCAACAGGGATGATGGATACAAGCTCTTCTAGCTCTGCTCCCATACCTGTAATTAAGGTTCCCAGGCACAGGACCCATTCCAACCATAGTGGGAGAAAAGTTCTGGTTGATGGGAGGGATAACCATGCCTGCATTCTTGGCATAGTCCAAGCTGCTGCTGGAATCTTTTAGGCTGGTTTGAGGGCTTATTTTAAATGGATTGATCGGACTGTCGTAGAGGCAACTCAGGTTGGGGGATCGGTCTGCTTTCTCTGCCTCAGCTTTAGAGCGCTTTGCCTTTAATAGCTTTGCATCTCTGCTCTTCAGGTCAATGCTGAAATCCTGTTTGGGAAGATAAGCAATGTCCTTCTCTTACAGCCGTGTTTAAAAAGTAGCTTAGAGTGGCACATGCAGGAAAAAAAGGTCAGAAGCCTAAACCTGCATGATTCTGCAAGGATCTGGTGGAGATGATACTGTTTTTAGAAGAAAACCTGTTTTCCATCAAACAGGAGGAAACTTGTCAGGGTTCCAGCAACCTCTGTAAATAAGTCACCCTAGAGTGGGATCAGAAATGATAGAGGAATAACAGCCACTTGCAAAGAAATTAAATAAGAACTGAGCCCAGTGTCACCTGAAAGTCACACATGAGTCTCTACTTCTCAGTATCCAACTGAAAGCAAAATAGGTAATTTTGGAGACAGGGCTTTAACACAGGTAAACAGAAGCATACAGCCATGTTTTTGTGATTCAACATGACTTATATTCCCTAACTGATTCTCCTTTCAGCTCCGTGTTTGCCAATAACTTCATCATGATGTAGTTTACCTGCAAGGGACTGGCCAAACAGCCACCTGCACACTGCCGAGCCAAGCACTAGAGCAACCTTGTAGCAGCCAAACAGCTAGAATCAAAGGCACACAACTTCTACACAACAGCCTGTGGGCTGTGCTGCACCGAGCGTCAGAGCTGTGGGGGCACAGGCCTGGTGCACTGCCCTGAATTGGGCGACAAGGACTTCAGCGCTCTTCAGGCTCACAGTGGCCTCTAAAGTTGAGCTTCTCTGACACATCACGCTTACCTCGTCCGTTTTAAAAAAAATGGACAACTACGCTTCTATTTTTGTTACGATCTTAAACTGCTGTACGTACCTATACAGTGATTTTAAAACATAAAAGAAAATGAAAATACAGGTTTGGAAAAGAAAGATGGACCAACCTGGACACCAAGCATTTTTCTTTCTTCTAAAACCTCATCTTTGTCCCTTTTGCTGATTTTTGATTTTTTTTGTAATTGAAGGTCTCTGGCATCTTTCTGAATCTTTATTTTAAGCTCCTGAGCAAATCTATGTTCCATATAGGAAGGGGGGGGAAAAAAAGTTTTCTGTTAATCTCAATATCATCATCAGTTGGTGTTCAGCCCAGGCTCCTATAACCTTTTAAACAAACATGCCATGCCTTTTTAACTAATGAGAAGCCAGCCAAATATGATGTATCCATTAAAATAAATAAAATCTTACAGGCACGCACTTTTCACAATACAGCAACAGAGGTGTTTATATCCCAGTCTGGTGTAGATGCAGACGGTGAATACAGTGTAAGACTATACTACCAAATACGGTGTGACCCTGGGTGTGCACATGAGTTATCATCAATTAACGTCATGACAAGGTAATGAGGTAAATGTGGCACTGCAATGTGTTCCCTTTCAACTGTTCTCCTATTTCCAGGAAGGCTAAAACCAAACAAAACCAAGACATTCAGCAGCTGTCAGCTCTACAAACCCTGCATGCACACTTCAGGCGCAACTGCTTAACTTCCTTCTAACATTAGCTGTTTTTGAGCAAGAAACTAACTGTTTACCTTTCAGCAAATCCATCCTTGTTAAAGAAATCACACTGCAAGAGTTCAGCACAGGATGGTCTTTTGTCTGGATCAATCTGCAAACACTTCTGTCAAATCAATGTAAACATTAGAAGGTAAATACATTAGAAGTGAAATGAAAGCTTTAGCATTTTTAACAAAGTCAAGAAAAAAGCTGCAAAACTCCCCCTTCTAGGGTCTGTTGTACTGAGGTGAGCCCAAGAGACACCACTACCAGAAAAGTTTAATGTTTGCTGGCTGCTTCCATTCCAGTCACTAATGCTTACAAAAACGCAATGCACAGAGAATACCTGTCATACAAACAGATCACTCCACTCTCAGTAAACCTCCCTTGTTTTCAGTTACATTTGTTTGACTAAGTCTTTAGAATCTGTTTTGGTCATTAGGCATTTCAAATACAACCATGTGGTTTTGGGTTTGTTTTAGTTACCCAACATATCGGAACTCCAGACTGCTGTGTGGAGCCACTGTTTTGTGTGAAAGCACAAAAAACACTCCCTGGAAGGATTCTTCAGAATCTATTACAAAGTTGTACGCTTCCTAACTCACACATAGTAGACACAGCTCCATGGGCAAGCGACACGTTTATATGCCATCCCATCCAAGCCTACTTGCTTGCAGTGCCTCCACCAGCAGGCAGAGGGAAGGTTGTTGGCAGAAAACACTATATCCACACAGCTCTGCTATCAAGTAAGAAGGGGCTGTGTATTACCTACAAAGCATCTGCTTTAGGTAGCAGAGGAGAGGCAAAGCTTGTTGGGAAGACATTTCAAAAGATCAACTGATGTAGTGAGGTGTGTGGAGGACGCTTTCAACACACAAGCCCTTCTTCACCTTTCAAATCTCCTTGGAAAACTTAATTAATGGGGCACTATATGCTACAAATCCCCCCTGGAGGACATGCAGTGTGACTCTGGAGATGACTGGCTTAGTCTTTGCTGTCACCCAGGACAGTAGCTGTTGTATCCTTGCAGTCCTCACTAAGATATCAATCCAGGCAGTTGCTCATTGCATGGGTAGTTGAGAGAAGGTCAGTTTAACAGCCCCAGCCCTTTCTGTAGGCCATATTCAGCTCCACAAGGTGAAGGACAAGTAAACAGAGAAACATTCATAGCAAATGATCAGTTAATTACCTTGGCTAAACCTAGCACTGCAGCAGAGAGTTTGGGATATCGTTTGTCCAGAGATTCAACCTCCTTCACTTCAGGCAACCTCATGCCAGCAAAGAGGGGATTTTTATAGAATAACTCTTGGTGTTTTGGAATTAAATTACCTGGAATCATACGAACAAAGCAACAACATGGAAGAAATACAGAACAGTGCCATGAAACATTTGAGAGGCTGAAATACTGGGTTAGTACTATAGTAAGGGCTACAGACTGGGTCATTCTCTTTCTACCTAGGCACCATGAATTGATGCTGTACTTGCAAGCTCCTAGCTCCCCCTTTGTAAAAGGTGCTAAGAGTACATCTTCTCAGAAATAGTTGAGCACACACCACAGCCTTTCGCCCCATGCCCTCCTCCCCACCCCCCGTCAGAAAATATCTGACCCCTTCATTACTAAGCAGGCACTAGGAGCCTGACAGGCTGTTCTTACCCAGGCACTTGGTGATATGGTAGAGCTGGTCAATGTCTGAATCTCCAGGGAAGAGGGGCTCTCCTGTAAGCATTTCTGTTATCAGAGTGCCAATAGCCCACACATCCACAGCCCTGGAAAAAACAAAACAAAACAAACAGCGCACCAGCTCAACACAGCTTCATTTGTCTCTTTGACCTAAAGGCTGAGCCAGGCCAGTGCACAGCACATCTTCAGCAGGTTATAAGCCTTGAGGGCAGCCTTGCCCCCCCTAAACAGCAAGACAGCCCTTTTCCAAGCTTACAAGTGCTCTGATGAATGGCAAGGATTCAGTTCTTGAAGAAGGCAAATGCTAGCAGAAGCCCAACAGATGTAAAATCATGTTCCAAAACCCAATGTTTTAAAAAATACTAATACAACGTAACACATTAGTAGAAGCTTGTGCTTTAGAGAGCACAAAGGTAAGCAGCTCCTCTTTCTTTAAGCATCCGCTCTTCAGGTGCATTTACTGAATATGAAGTGATACAGAGACATACATAAACCTGAACAATTGTACTAACAGACCTGTGAATAACAGAGTTTAAGTTCTGACCTGGTTTTGCAGTACTAGGGACCCCAGTAAGAAAAATCTCATTCATCCCACATCCTCCCTCCTGAAATGTCTATCTAGAATTGTTTGGAGGGACTTTTCTGCCTTTACTCCATGACTTCAACTGCACAGGAGGGAGATCTACCATAGCCTCCCCCAATACTAGCATCGGCAACTGAAAAGTTCTTAGAGACACCGGACCAGGAATGCTAAGGGCTCACCTCGCTTTCTGAGCCAGGAAAGCTGTCCTGGGTTGAGTGAGTGGTGGGGATTTTTGGTGGCAGGGGAGGGGGCTATCGGGGCGGCCCCCTGTGAGAAGCTTCTCGAAGCTCCCCCAGCTCCACGTCAGCTCCACCTCTGCACCAAAACTGAGCCACTCGGCTGCGCCTCTGCCAGAACGTATTTAAGAAGGAATGTGGTGAGGAGGAGTTGCGGCAGCTGTGTGAACACCAAGGTCAGTGGAGGAACGGAGGAAGAAAGGAGGGGGGAGGTGTGCCGGAGCAGAGACCCCCCCTGTATCCTGTGGGGAGACGGCAGGGAGGCCCCCCCTGCCACCCATGAAGATCTACGGTGGAGCAGACACTGATTTATGGCCTGTGTTTTGCCTGGATAATCAAGGTGACTGTGCCCGAAGAAGGCCAGGGTCTTGTGGGAAAAGGCAGCCCCGCTGCTGTAATTCAGTGCTGGGAGGATTGCAGCATGCGGGGGTGTCCCACGCCGGAGCAGCTCGGGAAGGGCTGCAGCCGTGGGAGGGAATCCAGTTGGGAAAAGTTGGTGTCCCACACTGGAGCAGTGTGAGGAACGCTGCAGCCTGTGGGAGGAATTCATGTCGGAGGAAGTTTGTGGAGGACTGTCTCCTGTGAGAGGGGGACCATGCTGGAGCAGGGGCAAGAAGTTCCAGAAGTTCCCCCACCGCAGATGGCAGAAGTGGCAGCACTGACTGCACCCCCTATTCCCTGCCCCTGCGCCGCTGGGGGAGGAGGTAGAGATATCGGGAGCAGAGCTGAGCCCGGGGAAGAAGGGAGGGGTGAGGGGAAGGTGTTCTCAAGATGTGGCAATGCTTCTCAGTGTCCTACTCTGTTACGTGTTGTTAGTGTCTGTAATAAATGTATGTTCTTTTTTTCTTCCCTTAACGAGTGTGCCTTCTGCTTGTGACCATAAAGGGGGAATTTTTCCCCGCCCGGTCCTATCTCTAACTCCAAGCCTGGCTCATCTGTCCTTTCTTATTGCTGGAAGAGAAGGTGGAGAAAGTGGCTGCGTGGTGTTTGGCTGCCAAACAGGCTCAAACCACGACAAAAGCCTAGCACTGGCAGAAGTTATCTGCAGAGTGGGAGAGAAAAGAGGAAGACTTAAACCTTTAGAAGTGAATAACCAGGGAATACCGAACAGCATTGCTTTAACCTGTTTGCCAAGCGATAGTCCCCTGCCTCCTCAAAAAACAGAGCACCCCCCTCCATACTCCCCACAAGCCCACAACCCTTCTGCAGCCTCGCACACCAGTCTTACTTGCCATACTTGATATCTCCCACCAGCAGCTCTGGAGCTCTGTACCATCGAGTTGCCACATAGTCTGTGTAAGCTTCCCCAGAAGCTGCTAAGGTACGGGCAAATCCAAAGTCACATAGTTTTACAACTCCTGACTGGGAAACTAGTATGTTCTCTGGCTTAATATCCCGATGTATTATCTGCAGAGAGAAAAGCATATTAAGACAAATAAAATCCCCCATTTCCCACATAGTAAATTGACTGGGTCACCAAATATAGTAGTTTTCTCACATCCAGGTAGAAAATTACATTTTTGCAGGCATGGGAAAAATAGAGTCTGTAATAGATACATGCACACAATGAACAAGTGTCAACTCGAGTGCACAGGTAAACACCAAACCTCTTAATTTTTGCACACAAAAGCGTATATTTTACATATCTCTCTGCATATGTTCTGCAGATGTATTTACTACAGGTATTTTATCAGGCACAATTTATTATGCTTCAGAATCTGGCCCTGACCACAAGTTTAAAAGCTGTTAGTATTGCAAGGGCATGTCCTGCAGTTAAATGTGAAGAGTATTTTAGGAATTCATGAGACGCAGTTTTCCAAACATAAAAATAAGTAAATGCACGTGTTTATATACATAGTTACACAACTAGGATTAAATTGGCAAACCTGTTAGAAATCAGTTGAGAACGAAAACCTAAAAGTACTGAAAAGGCAAGTCATCATGTTTACATAGACACTATCAGAACAAAAGTTTTGAAAATGAGACTATCTCCCTCTGCAAGGTAAGTCAGCTTACAACAAGATACCATCAAGTACTGGATCCCCATGGACTTCTGGTCCTTTCCTTTGAAATACTCTCACAAGTCAGAGACAGACTACTGGATCAGCTGACACCAAGCTCTGACATTCTACGAAATTCACTCCAGCCCTTCTGCCCTGCCTCTTCCTTTTCAGCCAAATCTTTATTTCTCTGTTTTAATATATATCAAAAAATATATGCTTCTGTATCTATTAATTCAAGGTTAACTGCAGAGCTAACTTCTTGTGCATACTTACGTTATGACTGTGACAAAATGCTATTCCTCTAATAATCTGAAATAAATATTTCCGAACCCTGCTGTAGTCCAGTCCGTCTGGAAATGCCTCAAGGTCATCAAGCAGGGTATGATCCACAAATTCAAACACCAGATACCACCGTTTCTTCTTTTTACACACTTCCAGCAGGTTCACGAGATTCTCATGCCTGAGTTGCTGTTATAAAACAGGAAATATTTTATGAGAGCTTAACAGCAAATAATGGGTAAACTATGACCAGATACTTTTAACTGCAACCCAGCCGGTGCACGGCTCCAGAATGCTCTTGTCATGGCACTCACATTCATTTATTCTTAAAATCAGCTCACGAATATTTTAGAATAGGTTTTATTTTTGCCAATTTTAATTTATTAACATCATCTGGAGGATTTCTACCACCTCATATATGGAGACACCTGGTTTTGTAACTGAAAAATAAATAAAACACTAAGGGCATTTCTTCTTAATGAGGATGCTCAAAATACACTGTTCTGTTGTTGTTGGGAAGACCTCATGCGTTCTGCTTCTCACAATGCTCTCCTCACATCAGAGGTGACACTAACTCATGCCCTGATCCTGACAAGCTTATGTTCCACACGAGAGAAATCTGGAGGAAGTCAAAAACAATTTCAGAGGAGCATGCAGTTAACGTGAGACAGCAGGTACCTAACAACATCTCCCACAAAGACTTGCCATGGAAAATCCAGAGGTCCCCAAGCTAGCAGGGAACACAAAGCAGCACGGTTTCTACTGGGAAGTTCAGCATGCTGCCAAGTATGCCTCTGACCACTGCGAGAAGAACAGGGTATTTAACCATGACTGGTGAGAGCTGCAGGCTCCTTGCTAGTTCCCTGGTTTTGCTCACGAACAGCTTAAGCAGCAATAAATATAGCTTGTTCCCATATAACTCTGGGCTCTATCTGTGGCTCAAACTCCTTCAGGAGATATTCTCATCAAGGTGACCAAGTGACACCGTGCTACCCTGCCTGCTCCCTCAGGTGGGGGCACGAGGAGCAACGCTAGGCTACCCCTTCCAGACAGGATGCAAAGGATTGCTGAAGACAGGTCTCTGTTTTGTTTTAAGAAAACTTTTTGCCTCTCCCAACAACCCAAAGCTGATTCATCTCTTTTCTCTCATGTTTCCAGGAAGTTTTACCCTTCTGTCATTCCTTTCTCTAGGTCCTCTTTTTACAAATCTCTTACATCCTCATTTAAAAGAAAAACAAAAAGCAGCTGCAGTACCCCTCTGTTCTACCTAGCTGTTGGTTCATCACCAATTACTCAGTGTATCTTATTTTTTTCTAATAGGCTTTTAATCTCCTACCATACCCAAAACATTTCGGCTAGCACTGCCTGCTTATACACATTTACAATAACTAACGTGCCAGAATACAAGCACACTGAATGAATAAAACGAAAGTTCACTATTCTTAACTATAATAGTGTTAACAATTAAACAGCTTCTATTAAATTGTGTCTAGTGGATTCAGAGTGAAAACTGACCAGTCAAAGATTTGAAGGGATTTTTTTTTTCCAATATTATGAAGAGGGAAAAGCTGAAGATTATTTAGAAAAAAAACCCTGCAACTTAAATTAAAAGAAAAAAAAAAAGCCACTGTATTTTCTAGTTGTCACCACATTCTGACCAGCCAAGAATTCACCTCCAATTCATTACACATTTGTAACACTGGTTTATCACACACCACTTAAACAAAACAGACCATGCTACAATACTCAGTTATTTAATAGCTTGGAGCCTAGCAGGGAAGTATCGGAGGTTGACTGAAGGCAGCACCATAGCTCAGGGATGGCGACCAAGGAAGATGCAAAAGGACTGCAGCGTGCAGGGACTTGCAGTGGAAATGCTCTGCTAGTCCAGAGGGAGTGCCAGCCAGCCTGCACTCGGGTCTGTCAAAGACTCAGATTTCTTAGAAGGTCTGAAAAGTGCAGATTTTCAGAAAGATGATCAAAGAAAAAAATGCTCTTTTCTAAATAATAATTTCTTCCCAGCACAGGAGACCTGAAGAAGTTTTGCTGTCCTCAGCCATGATTAAATTTCTGCCCAAACCCCAGAACAAAAACACTAAATCTCTAGGTATTTATTTTCACTGGGAGAGGCCACATTTATTGAGCTGTATATGGAAATGTTCCCCTTGCTAAGCTCCCATTTACCCATGAAAACAACAGCACACCTGGGAGGTGGTACGTGCTTTGACTCAGTAACTAAGCAAGCCTGGCCAGCAGATCAGGTATGATCCAGACTTGTGCAAATCTGCTCTAGAAGAGTTTGAGAGGAAAACATTTGGAGCTGCTGGCTGCATCTCAAGCTCTAACGTGTGCATTTCTATTAACGCTAAGGGTTTGTGGCTCTTGCAGTGATGGCAGAGATCACTTTTTGTTTTTTACCTTCACAGCACAGGGACTATAGTCTGCCAGACTTGCAAACAGACACCTGTGGCAGCCAAGAGGAGGGGAGACAGGCTTGCATGTATTCCCATTCCAGAACACCTTGCATCAGAGGAAAAGCATAAGATGCACTCCAACTGCAATAAGACTTTCCTTCTTTTCTTCACCAGACACATCAGCTGTGTCCCAGCTCTTAGAACTACCACAGATGCCCAGACTGTTCTGTGCATACCCGCCTGTGGGACAAGGGAAGAAGAAAAATGCTGCAACTACTGCTAGAGGTTATGGTGGCAAACACAGGGGCTGAAGGTGGTCAAAAGAGCAAGCAGAACAATGGATGTATATCCTGGCATGCCATCCTGCATTCTTGGCGTCCTATTCACAAAGGAACGCAGCAGAAAAAGCTGGCAGTGAAACGGTTTAGGAACTTGCAAGAGCATCTGTAGGAAGAACAAAGCCAGGAGAGGAAGCAGAAAGACCATAAGATACAACACTGAAAAGCAGATGCACAAAACCCTGTTTATCTAAAGCTGCTGGGTATTTTCGCAGACAGAGCCCATGAAGAGAAGCACCTTTAACAAACTAACCCTGACAATGAGACTACACCACATAATGCTGCTGATAAGAAGCCAACAGGCTGAAGTACGACTGGACATTTAGGCGAGTATAAAGCATCCACAATCAACACCAGGCAAATCACACACTCAAACAGCAAAGGACATTATGCCAGCTGGCTTCAGCCTAGGGGCTAGCTGTTGACTGATAAGGTTCAGGGAATTTGATACCTGTCCTCCTCCAGCCTCTGGCTGGCAGTACAAGCCTGCCAGGAAAGTGTCATTAATAAAATAAAATGAAGTAAAACTTTTCCAGAAGCATTTTTCCGTATCAGGTAACACCTGCACCCAGTCTGGTTAGGCAGGCTGTCACACATTCAGGTCACCATTCACCTGCAGGGTTTAAAAGTTCAGCATTTCTTTCGTTTTCAGCAAATTTCACAGCAGCAAGGTACTCGAATTTGGTACACAACACAGGGGGGCACAATTACTACCATGAGGGAATGGAGACCTTGTGACTCCCTTCTTTGTACTTTTCCCTGCTGAATACAGGGCACATAAACAGACTAGATTCTAATCAAGTCAGGTTTAGCCAGGCAAATCCAGCACAGCGCCCAGCCAAAGGAAAAAGCAGTTCTGCAAGGCTACAACTCAAAGGCTGAAGGAATATACCACAGCTTGGCTGCTCGTGGAAATACGAACAGGGCCCGATCAAGACTGTTGGCTTGTACTTTGTTAGTTATACTTTGTAAACTGTGCTCAGAAGTAGCTGTGCTTCCCTTTCAAAAACTAACCCAACAGCCTAAATTCACACCTATCCTATAACTTTACTGGATGAACATCACACCTTAAAGGACTCCTAAGGAGTTTCAAGAGGGAGCTTCCTCCCACGAACCCATCGACTCCGCACAAGTAAATCTCACCCACACCCACCGGATCTAAACGATTAGCACCTTTACCACCAGAAAAACTCAGGCCACCGTTATGAAGGTTACTACTCAGCTCGAAGGAGACATTTGCCTTCAGGAAGGTATTTAAACACCTGACTAGGATTCAATATACACCGTGAAGAGGCATCTGGAGCAGGGCAGAGGCTGCAACCACACTGAGCTGCGGTGGGGCAGGATGCTAGAGGCATTACCACAGCAGCCGCAAAATAAAAAGGTCACGCTCTGTATCAACCCCCCTCGGTGGGCAGCCGCTGTACTGCGACAGGAACGTCTCCCAGCTGAACGAGGAGCTAGGAATTTCAACAAAAAGCCATCGGCTTGGTCCGGCTTTGCTTGGAAAACGCAGGCCTGCTCCCCCCTCAGCTGCCCTCACGGCTCACCTTCAGCAGCTTGATTTCCCTCACGGCGATCTTCTTCACCGCCGCGTCGTCCTCGCTTTCCAAGAACTTCTTGACAGCGACGATCTGCCCGCTCTCCTTGTTCCGGCACTTGGTCACCACGCCGTAGCTGCCTTCCCCCACGAGGCCCAGCACTTGGTACTTCTCCATGGCCGCAGCTCTGCCCCTGCGGGACGTCGGGGATAGGGAGGGTGGGAGGGGAAGCTCCGCCGGGCCGCGGGCAGAAGGGACCGGGGCCCGGGGGGAGGTGGAAAGCTCCGCCGGGCCGCGGGCTGAAGGGACCGGGGCCCGGGGGAGGTGGAAAGCTCCGCCGGGCCGCGGGCTGAAGAGACCGGGGCCTCACGCCCCGTCCGACGGGCCCAGGCCCAACGCCCGCGTCACCGAGGCAACGGCCTGCCGTAACGCGCAGCCGAGCTGTCGCAACAGCGCGGGGAGGCGGGAAGCGGCCGGCAGCCCCTCGCGGGGTGAGGAGGAGGAGGCGGAGGCGGCAGGGTGAAGGGTGGTCCCGGCGAGGGGCTTAGACTTCTTACCGGCAGTCGTGTGCGTGGGGTGAGGGGGGGCGGGGGGAGCCGGCGAGGTGTATTTATTTATTATTTGCCGCCGGGCCCACCTCGGCTGTGTTTGTGCCCTGAGGGGGGGTTGGAGCCGCGCCTGACCAGGCGGGGACACCGCTCCTTTTGCTGGAGAACATAACCCAGATATTTTACACTTTTCTTCTGAAGAAATGGTAACTTCCGTGGAGAAGCCGTACGGCTTTTCTAAGCTAAGGCAAACAGTAAGGTATAGCTGTCAGCGATACACGGCTCCTTGGCTATTAATAAATCATCAACATACTGTATCAAAGCATCTGGGTTTTTTTAAACACAACATCCTACTAATCTTTTACTACGATTTTAGAAAATGAGTGAAGGACACAGCAAAGCCATGAGGGAGCCTCGCCTATGTTAGCTGTCTTCCCCCAAGCAAATGCAAAAGTATTGAGAGCCTGGATGAATACCTCTACGGATTTAAGCTTAAAAAAGCTGCCTCTGTATCAATTAGGGGTAATTATGTTCATTAACTCAAAGGTTTAAGACCGCATTCTCATCAGAAGACAAGGAAAACATTTTGTACGTTAGTGACTGCGCAAAAGGGAAGGATTGTGCCATAGGACTAAGCAGTCCTGAGGGGAAGCCCTTTGGTCGTACCTGGCGTTTCCCCTTTGCCATGACCTGGTTGTCCCAAATAATTACAACAGCCTCCTGTTCCTCGAGGCCAGTTACTCCTAAAATGTCCTCCTCTGCCTCTGCTTGTGCATTCCCAGTCGAGGGTTGCTATTCAGTGTTGGGCCAAGGTATTGGGAATAGCCAGGAAATAAATTTGTGAGTTGATGGTGCAAGCGGTGCCCGACTCCTTCCTAACAAAGCCAGCGTAAGAGGGAGCCCAAAACGTGCTGGAAATCTCTTTGGCTATAGTGAGTAAAAAGGTCCTTATAAAGCATTTTCCCTTGAGGCTCTTTTCTTGAAGCCATTAAGACACATAAAGAACAAATGACTAAGCAGTCTTATCTTGGTGTGACAATGTGCAGTGGGCAGAGTGCCAAGATAAAAATCCAGTATGAATTAATTTAATTAATAATCTGTGCCGGAGCAGCTGTGTGCTGTTGCAAGGCATCTTATGTTGCTAGGAACGTGGCAACGATAAAGGTGCAATAATTTGCTTTAAAATGGATGTGTGTATCAGTCCCCTCGCTGTGCATTTTATTTTAAAAACGTGGCAGTTTCTGCACTTGTTACACGCAACTTGACACCAGGCGTGAAGGTAACCGGTTTCCTTCAAGCAAACTTGAAGCACGTGTGTGTGTTTACGGATTGAGACTTATTCCAACATACTCCTGCTCTTTCCACGACACACCAGTGAAGGAGGCATCGAGAGATGTAGCACCTGTGATGGTAAGTCTTTTGCTCACATTGACTTGTCTTGCTCCGAACAGGAGTGGTGTGACAGGATGCATGCAGGAGAGGGTTTTTTTTGGGGAGGGGAGGGTGGGAAAGAAGAGACAAAAGCAACAGGGAGGAAAGAGTAGAGACCAGCTGTGTCTGTTTGAAGGACTGTGTAACTAGGAGAATGTCACACCCCATGGCTGTCATGCAAGCGCTGAGCCACTTTCCCTTCCCTGTTTTTACCAATCAGTTCCTAGACATTTCTCTCCCCAGTTTGGTAGCCTATAGTGCACAGTCTAGGGTACCGTAGAAGAAAAGGTCTCCAACTGCTCTGAAGAAATTTATGAATACTTATCACGTTTGACTACTGCAACGCTTCTCTTTGGGAGAGGAGCAGTATATACCTTGCCAAAATGCCAGCTCCCTGGAAGACAGCATCATGAGGCATCATGTATTTCAATAATACTTTCTGAAACCTTTATCATATTTCTCTTGTGTCGATATACGTCACCTTCTGTAATTCATGTCTAGTTGGTTTTATTTCTCTTTCACCCACATTCTCACTTCATATATGCAGTCACTGTAATGCATCTTTCAAGGCTGACCTCACATTTCCAGGAAAAAAAAAATGGAACTCAGTTGGCATTAATTTATTATACTCCTCCCACCTTCTACTGCTCATCATTATTGTACCGAGTGCTTTCTCTGGGTCCGGACATCTGTTCAGCATGGCTAATAGATAGCTAACTTGGCAACCAATTAACTCTTCCACCACTGAGATACCACTTCTGGCTTCGTTAAATGAAAGGCAGAAACCACAACCATGCATGCACAGCAGACTTCATAAGCTCACTTTGACAGTGCAGATGGTTCTTCAATTTTATTTTAACTGTAGGAAACAATATGGGGAACCAGCCTTTCTTGCTTATGGACAGTGTCCAGTGTCAATAGGCTCTCTGTTAACCAGAGATTCCAGCCACCTCTCTGCTGTACGAGTAATCCTGGTTTTTACCATCAGCAACTAACTTAAAAATGACAACAATTTCTTTTGGCTATAGGTTGCTTTGGGCTTGTTTTTGAGTGACCTTTATTTTTGTATATATAACACCGCTGTTAACTTATGATGATGTGTGTTGGTGTGGTGCTAGAATTTAAAGCCAGAGAGATTGAAGGTGGTGAAGAATGGGTGAGATATCTTGCTATGCCATATGGTACCAGTACTCCAGATATGGTTGACAGCCAGTTGGTATCTGAACAGCACTGGCCGAGTTCAGTCTCGATAATTTGAGAAAAAACCTTTTTTTCCTTTTACAATGTGATGCTGCTAGCCAAAAGGGGCCTTGATTCCTCTCCTCAAAAGTGTAATTACTGGTGATGCTTTTTCATATCTGCCTTTGGAACCCTGGAATATTTTTCTTCTTTTAAATGCAGGCTACTGTGAGCTCTTCTGATCTTCCACGGCCACAGGAGAGAACATCCCACAAGTTAATGAGAAAGGGGCAGAAGAGTTTTAAATAGCTAGAAGAGCTTTATTTTTCTGACAATTAAATTAGTAGTCTTACAGTGAACACTGCCCTGTATCTAAACCAATGAATAACCGGATAGTTTAATTTTCTCAGTATCTACAGTATAAGTTAGACATTTTCAGTGTTCTGAGCCAAGTGCAACTGATAGGATTTCTGTCATGGATTCTGGATCCTTTGAAAGTGGGGTAATGGCATTTCTTTTATATATAGTTTAGCTTTTTATACCAAATAACATATGGCCATGCTGTGTGCTTTCCGCATCATGTTTGTCTTGCTGTAGCTCTCGGAAATATTCATCTAGAGAATGTCAACACAGTGTCAGTTACAATTTTGTTTTTCTATTTTGTTTCCCAGAAATTTTCAGATATTGTGATATCTACCAGCATCATCCATTGTAGTTCTTGTAGTTAAACCTCAGGAAGACAAATAACGACAGCCCCTGTCGTTTAGATACTGTGGTTTAGATGAATCACACCACAGTTTTTATAATGAAGTATCCAATTACTTAGATAAGTTAGGGATTAAGTATTCTGTGCCCTGAATGATCTTTTAGGGTTGAAATTACAGCTGTAGGTTTTGGAGGTTTTTTTAGTTAAGGAATTTTTGTTTCCATACAGTGTACAAGCAGTAGCGAACATATGCCAATGCACAGGATTTCACAATATTCCCTACTTCTCTTAATTGCACAAATGGAAGGGAATAAAATAAATAATACTACTAATAAAAAATCATATCTGTGGCACGTGATGGTGATGATACAGTTAATCATGAGATGTTACTGCCTCCTTTCCAAGGCAGTTTTGTGGTAAACCGCCTCATTTTTGTCACCCATCCCGTTTCCCCAGGTGACAGAACCTCCACACCCGCTCCGGTTCCACACAGCGCCTTCCCCGCCTGCATCACACCCGCCGCCGCCAGAACTCCATCGCCGCCACCTCACCTCCCCGGTAGTTTTCTTCCCTTTGAGACGGCGCCTGAAAGGGAAGTAAATACCTTTGGCGACGGTCCTTGAGGGGAAGAGCCTTCAAAATTTCCAGGTTTGACGGGATATGGCTTGGGGGTTTAGGTGGTTTGGGGTTTTTTTTGGGTTTTTTTTTTTTTTGCTGCTGCTTTAGGCGGTCCCGGGCGCCGCCGCCGTCCCCTCAGCGCCCGGGAAGGGGCGGGGCGCCGCCGCCGGGGGGCGGGGCCAGCGCGTGGGGCATGCGGCGTCCGCCTCTGCGCAGCGGCCGCGGCCATGAGGCTGTGGGCGCGCAGCCTCCGCCCGCCGCGCGGCCCTTTGTTCCTGGGGGTCAGCGCCTGCCCGCCCTCCTCTCTGCCCCGCGGCCCGTGATGGCGGGGGCGGTGTGAACCCGCCCGAAGGGAGGAGGAGGAGGAGGAGGAGGAGGAGGAAGAGGAGGAGGAGGAGGAGGAGGAGGAGCCGCCGCCACCGCCGCTGCCCAGGATGCGATGGGGAACTGCTGGGCGCAGTGGTGCTGCGGGCTTTTCTTCCGGAGGGAAGCCGGCCGGCTCCAGCGAGGCGGAGGGTAAGCAGGCAGCGCGGCTGCCCCTTTCCCCTCCCCGGGGCGGGGAGGTGCTGGACCCGCCCGGCTCCGCCTTTCCTCCCCTCCACACCCCCCTTTCCTCTTCCTCCTCCTCCTCCTCCTCCTCCTCGGCGGGAGGTGAGGAGAGGCGGCCGAGCTGCAGGACCCTGAGGCGGCCGGTCCTCGGGTCCTGGGGCGGCCGGTCCCCGTCCCCCACCGGCGGGACGTGGGTTGTCTTGGGGTAGGAGAGGGTGGCGGTGACAAGGTTCGGGAGCTGTTGCGGTGCCCTGTGTGGGTCCAGCGGGGAGAGGGGAAGGGACGGGGTCGGCAGGAGAGGTGGGGGAGTGTCAGGAGGTGAGGAGGGGGAAGGGGCTCTGGAGGGGGGGTGAGGAGGGGATGAGGAGAGGGTAGGGGGTGAGGAGAGGGGGTGAGGAGAGGGTAGGGGGTGAGGAGAGGGGGTGAGGAGAGGGTAGGGGGTGAGGAGAGGGGATGAGGAGAGGGTAGGGGGTGAGGAGGGGATGAGGAGAGGGTAGGGGGTGAGGAAGGGATGAGGAGAGGGTAGGGGGTGAGGAGAGGGGGTGAAGAGAGGGTAGGGGATGAGGAGAGGGTAGGGGGTGAGGAGAGGGGGTGAGGAGAGGGTAGGGGGTGAGGAGAGGGGATGAGGAGAGGGTAGGGGGTGAGGAGAGGGGGTGAGGGGAGGGTAGGGGGTGAGGAGAGGGGGTGAGGGGAGGGTAGGGGGTGAGGAGGGGATGAAGAGAGGGTAGGGGGTGAGGAGAGGGGATGAGGAGAGGGAAGGGGGTCAGGAGGGGGAAGAGGGTCAGGAGGGGAGGTGAGGTGGGTCAGGGGGTGAGACAAACACATGCCACCTCATACAGGGTCTGGGCAGGCCCAGGCTGCCCCCTTCACCCCCTCCCCACAGTAGCAGCGTGGGTAGATTGGAAAAGGGAGAGAGGAGAAAATAAAAAAAGTATATAGCGTCTGCCTTGACAGCTTGAGCTGATGAAATGCCATCAAAAGGTTGCTCGGCTTTGCACAGTTTGCATGGTTGATGGTAAGATGCTTCTGGGAATTGCTTAGGCTAACTGTGGGGACATTCTTACTTGTCAACCCTCTTCCAGGGTTATTTTTCCAGAAGAAGCAGCTTAAATTGCTTTATTTCTGATTAGTTGCCAAAATCTGTGCAGGCTGCTGTGTTTGTGCTAAGATGGAAAACCACCATATTTTCTGGAATATGGTCTTCTGTTCTCTGTGAGTTGGAGCCTGAGACTGTTGGGATTAATGGTGATTACTACAGAAGATCAAGAGCAGAATGGTCTGAATAAATTTACCTATATCTTGTAAATGTGTAATCTGTGTTTTGTTCTGCAACCAGTTCGTGGAAAAGCAGTGTACAAACAGGAGGGATGTTACAAGAGTTTGGTTTTCTTCCATATACTTACTAGTATTTGATACATGTCATTTATTTTTGACTGATATATTAAGCTTTAAGTTATGTGGATATACAGAGCATTTTCTGTCTTGCAAGCTCGTGGCATCTTATTTCATATCAGCTCTGTCAGGCAAGACTGATGTTCTTGTCCTGAAGACCTTTTAGGAATACTTTTCAGAGAAATGGGTGAAAGACCAGGACAGCCTGTGTGGAGGATACCTGCTTGTATTCATAGGACTTTGCAGCAGAGGGTACAAAGACATCTGAAATGCCTGGATAGCTGGCACTTAAGTATGTTTCTTGTCCTATACCCTTAGAAAAACAGGTAATACTTGAAAGGTTCTTGCTTCACATGTGTGTTTTGCCGAGTTTCTGCTCATAGACTAATAATCTTTTTTTAGGGGGTAGTGACAATAAGTCTATGGCAATGTGTACTTACCCTTTAAATTATTGCTTTGATTGTGGGGTCATGCTGGTCTTTAATTTTTCCCCAGGACTACTTTTCACTGACTTACTGACTTATGAGTATTGGATAGGAGACAGTGTCAGAAAAGGCACAAGATTGTCTTGGCTATAACAGCAAATTCTAGATACACAGTTACTTTTTATCTTTCCATTTGGTCTAAAGTGCCTACTACCTATTTTTGTTTGTTGTTTTTTCCCTTGTATTCTTTTTTTTTTTCCTTGTATGTTTGCAATACCTTGCTACCCTTTTGTATATTAATTGGTGTTTGCAGTGTCATCTGTTCTAGTACTTGGTTTTGGTGCACGTTTGCTTCCTGAAGCATCATTTGTTAGCTTCCTACCACCATGGTCTCATAGTCTCCAATTGGTTTTCAGCAGACAGTTGCTGAAGTTACTGGCGTCCTCGCCAGACTTCATCCTGTGTTTTGGGTGCCTTTCGTGTAAATACTGGCTTACTGCTTTCTTGGGTTTTAGAATGGCAAATATGAATGCCGATGCACAGAATTATGAGAAATGCTATTCTCTTAAGTGGCAGGGAATTCATGATGAAATTTTTATGAGCGTACTCTCAAAGGAGAAGTTTGTTTTTCATGATGGTTTAGCTACTTGTACATGCATGTATTGCTTCTATTAGTCCAATATCTGACTGTCCTTACCAGAGAAATCTTACTGCCTGCTGTTGTAATTTTAAACTGTTATGTGCATTTCTTTGTGTTGCATAGCCTGTAGTGAAGGTCTTAGAAAAATGAAATGATAGTAGAGAAAACAGACTTTTTCAACTGAAGTGGCTGCACCTGTTTGGATAGGCTTTTGAAGCCAGAATGTGAAATATTGTATAAGGGGGATCAGTTTATGCAAAAGCAATCATCAGTGCTACCTCTTGCAGATAGCTGGCACACGTCTCAGATCATCTTTGTTTTCTGTGTCTGCTGGTAGTTTACAGAGCAGTGTTGGAACATTGAGTGATTTAAGTATTTCTCCTTCCACTGTGTGCTGGGAGGGGCAGGGAATTGTATTAAAAATGAAACTGTAAAATGTGTCTTATAAATTTTGTATGTTTGCAAGTCCGATTGCTACCAAGTTCTGCAGATTTGGCTAATTCTGGAACAGCAGAAGTAATAACATAGTTTATCAAGTTAATTGTGATTATTTTAGTCACTCGGATTCCTCGCCCCCAGGCCCAAGCTAGTGCTTCATTATTCTTTGATGTTCCAAGATTTAACTGTAAGACATAAACTCTGAATTAAATAATTAAGTATACAGTTTTTAACAAGTGCTTAAATATTCTGCAAGATTACAAGTTGCCTTTGGTTGGAATTGTGCTTAAAATGTTGGAGATTTATGTATGAATTGCTGCAATGATTTCATAGTTGATTTTGAACGTGTGGAGAGAAGTGAAACACCCCAACATTCTTTAGTGTAGTATAAGTTTAACTTCCCTGTAAAAATACAAACTTTCAGTTGTTAATATTTTTTTTGGGGGGGAGGGGAAGTGTCCTTCTGCCTTGGCTGAAATAGTTTTGCTTGAAGTACTATAAGCTGCAGCCATAATTAGGAAGTAGGTCATAGCTAATTTGTCACTATGTTTGACCATAAGTATTCTTCTTTACTCCTAGAGGAGTATTTAAAAGAAGGGAAAGAAAAAAGAGAATAATAAATCTAACTTTTCTCTAGGTTGTTTGGTTAGTTTGGGAGGGGTTATCACTAGCGTGGAAAAAACTAACATTAACTCATGCTCTGGTTTTAATAGATTAAATGTTAATTTTTAGTGATTTTTTTTTTTTCCCCCCACACATAATTTGTATAAGTTGGTTGGATTTTTTTAAAATAAAAGATGATAACATGACTTTGCATAAAAGGATAATAAAGCATATATATATATGTATGGAGTGTTGAAAAGTTAGTCTCTTCAATAGCTTTAGATCTTTGAAGATTGATCTGACAGTCTCTGTGGGTCCTGTGTCCTGTTAGCCTGTTTTCTGTAGTAACTATCAAACTTAAATGTTTCTCAAGTCTTTTTTAGAAAATACTGAAACACTAGAGCTTAAAGGAGAAGAATAAAAGCTGTATGCATTTTATTAGGTTAGTACTTTATTTCAGTTGAAGTTGTGTACGTATGGGAGTTGAAGTTGCTGGGTCTTCCATTTTGGTCCCTAGAGACCTCAATCTTCCCTAGTTGCTCTGGGCTCAAACTGGCACAGAATTGGGTCTTCTGTTACCGGGTCCCTGTTCAGCAGGTAGCAGAAAGTGTAGATCTTCCTTGAAGTGTCATTGCTGTTGGGCTATTTCTCATTACATTTAGTCAGCTTGCACTGCATTGTCTTAGTTTTCTATAGGTTCAGTGTTCAATTCTTGCAGCTAATCTGATTGCAGCTCATGTGTTTGTGAAGTTGAGCATCATTTAGAGCCTGGTGCTGTAAACTGGAAAGATACTTGTGTTAACAATTTCCTGTAAGAGATTTATTAAATTAGCTTCTTAATGGTGTTGGCTCCTGCACACCAAAATGTTACACAGAGGGGCAGCAGTGGAATTACTTTCGGTGTTCATGCACCGCGGCCTACACCGCTGTGTAGAAGGAAAGGTTGGGCAACAAGGAAGAAGAGGGTTGTGCAACAAGTTGCCAGGGGAGACATACCCTAACCGAATTCCAAAGAAAAATATGATGGAGATAAAACCGATACGATTAAAATAATTCAGGCTTTGGTTGGTGTGTTGCTTTTAGTATAGTAGAAGTAGGTGTTGGTTGCAAGTACAGAACGGTCTTTTCTACAAGTATAGAAATGCCTGAGGCCCTGGATTGTTTATTCCTGATATCAGTCAGAGCTTGGAACTGGAAACTCTGGTTTTTTTTTGATGTAGTTCCATGAAATGGATGTTGTACTGAAGCACCAGTATCCATTTGAATGTTCTTTTGGATGAGAGCCAAACCTCTTTCACTGGGTAAAAATGTATCCAGTTAATACTTTTTTTTTTTTTTTTCACAGTGTTAAGATAGTTAAAGAATCAAGGAGATTGGTTCCCTATATAAAATTACAGACTGTGAATAATTTTATGTGAATTTTATGTGAATAAGTTAAAAAGTATTGTCTTGACCTCTTCATAGAGATTTTTCTCTGAGGTTCAACCTTCTAGTGGTGCCAAGCTGTCAAAATAAAATGTATTGTTTAACATAGATGTTGTACAAGATGTTATGCTAGTAAAGAGTTAAGTGCCACGATGAACAAGTGTTTTCAGAAATTGCCTCCAATAGTGTTTTCTGAGAAAGATATATTAAAGGTATTTCAGAACATGCTAAATGTGTAAATGTCAAGCCCAGCATCCTGTTAAGTGATTTCTTCTCACTTAAGGGTGTTGGTCTTTTCTCCAGTTCTATAGAAAATGTTTACATGCTTTCACCTCTTGCCACTCTGGTAGTGATGCACAGGTTAACAAATAAATATGTTTGATACATGAGTATTTTATGTTTATTTAATTCTAACTTAACATATTTCAGAAGATATTTAAAATTATCTGGCTCCTTTTCCTAGTGCTGTGAATTGAAGACTATTCTATAGTGTAACTGTAGACTTATTTTTCCAGATCGAAGTATTTTAGAACATGTTCAACAGGAGAACACTTCACTATAGAGGTGAGTGCTTACACTTCTAGCGATTTTAAAAAAAAAGGTGGAAAAAGCTGAATTCTAGCAGTGCCTTTAACACTTCTTGCAGTTTATGTACATTGAAATAGTCTGGTTTATTCCAGACTAAATTGATGCTGCACTGGGTGACAAGACAGTGGTTCTTATAGCACCTCAGAACACGAATACATCATCTTGCTTTAATGTATCACTTGGAAAGAAGAGAAGTATCAGTTGTGATCTGATACTCCGCACCAGAGCATTCTAAAATCTGCTTATTGCATCTTTCCTTACTGCTCCGTTGGGAGTGATTTTCTTTCCTGCTTCTATAAGTGCAGGATATTTAGTTCTTGATTGCAAGATCATGAATCTGATTCTACAAAAAGCTAGAATCAGATGAGGTTGCTTTATAGTTAGTTGCATTTGTAGTCTACTTTGTTCGCTACAGAGGTCCTTTCTCGGCCACTCAATATCTCCCCCCTTTTTGCTAGGACTAGTGTGTAATTTTATTCTGAGAATCTCAATTTATACAAATTAACCTGGTTTACTTTTTCTGACTGTTCCTTATGGTCTAAAAGTCCTTTCAGATTGCCCCCATTACTGAGAAGAACATTAATAACTGTAATCGCTACTTTGGGTTTCCAGAAAGGGGGGCAGACATATATGATGGGGGAACTCTGTTTTAGCTCACAACTTCTAGTTGTCAGAGGTTGTTCCCGCAGCAGAAATATGGTAGGGAAAAGAAGGTTTTGGCCTCCTCCCAAATTGTAATTCATATTCTGATTACAGCGATTAGTCAGTATTCAGGTCAATAAGTAGTCTTGCTGTAGGTACTGACCTCCATGTTTGATGTATTGACTACATGTAAAATTAGCATACTGGAAATAGTAGAGAAAATCTCCCTTTACTTTGTTTTTACATGCTAGTTGAACTTCTGCTGGATGAGTCTGTGCAGTTTGGAATGCTTTGTGTGTTCTTGCCTGGCTTGGGCTTTCTTTGGCTTCCTATCATTAAGCATTACATTGCCTTTATTCACCTTTAGTTTACTATGTGCAAAGCTGGGAGGGTGGTGGTTGTTGCTTGTTTGTTTTTAGAATTCTGGGTAGTAACTCTGCGTTGTCTGTAAATTAAATACATCTTCAAGTACTTCTCGATGAGCATCAAAGTTGGCATGTGAGACAGAAGTTACATGCACTATACCCCTTACATTTTCTGTATTTTTAAATTGAGTGGGTGCTTTGGTGTTTGGCAGAGCCATACTGTTCCTTCCACTGCTTGTATTATAAGGCTTCAGATACACAAAATTATTAGCAGTCTCATAAACTAACGTGGTTTCATTTTTATCAGGGCCTTTGCATAAGTTGTAGTGAAATACATGAACGTATTTTAATTTTGACTCTTGTCCTTTTAGGATAATGTGATGTTTAAGAAAAGAAACATTGGTAAGAAGATAGGTCCTACTCTAAAAGTAATACTTTCTCTGGAAGCAGGGGCCTTCATAAATGGTTTTACAGTCCCACTGTTATCATTGGAGTAGTGTTTTTACAGGACAGATTAAATATATAATCATATTTGCAGTCTGTGTTTAGTGACTTGTTATATTGACTTGTAAAGATTGTTTACTTCTTCTTTGCAGTTTGAAAACCTAGTGGAAAGTGATGAGGTAGGTACTTGGATCATAACGTGAACTTGCTAGTACAACCCTTAAAAATGGTTCCAAGGTCTGTATTGTCTCCCCAAGAGATGAAGACCTAAGAGAAAAGAACACTGGCTGGGGGGAGTATGGAAGTAACCCTTTCAGGAAGAGAGCACTATGGACATTAGGAAGGCAAAAAGAAAAGAAGGAGAAGTGGGAGAGGGAGAAACAGAGAGGGGAAAAGACTTGAAGGAGAATTTGGTACTGGTGTAACTTGTGTAAGTCTCAGTAAATGTTCTCTATCTGAAAACATAAATGGACCCGGGTTGCTTTGCTAAGGAAAGCTCGGAGTGCTCTGTCTTTACGATTATGGGTAAACTGGCTGAGCAGTACTTCAGAAAAATAGATGTTGGCCTTAAAACTTTCACTATTATAAATTTAATGCAGCTTGATAATGGGTGGGGCACACACCACATTTTCAGTACCCTGCCCTGTGTTTAAAAACATGAGGACTGATAGTTTGGTTCTTGAAATATGCCACTGGTGTATATTTTTTTGAGTTGGAAGCACTTATTTATTTTACTTAGCCACTTCAGGTGATTGCATAATAAGATACTTTTTTTTTTTTTTTAAATTCTAAATTAAAATAGGGGATTCCCCCCCTCCCCTCCCCCCCATTGTAAAACCAATATATGGGAGAAACTATGGTTTCATATTGTTGGTTCTTTTCCCCCTCTTAAAATTGATTGATTTGTGGGATTCAAAAACTCAGACTCTTTTTTTTTTTTTTTTTTTAAACAGGGGGAAAGCCCAGGAAGCAGTCACAGGTAAGATTTTGCGATTTAGGACCTCTCCTTCCCTCTGCTTTCCCACTGTGACTATTAAGTTTGTCAGAGTTTCTCTCAAAACCCTTTCTGTTTTTTCAGTTGTCAGTTATATGGAAAGAATACATATCAAACTGACGTTAATGCTTAACCATGTCAGAACAGTTTAGATGAGAACTCATCTTGCAAAAACTATACAAGACAGTTAAAATAGTATGTTGCAAAGAGAATCTTTTATCTTGTTCCTAGGGTCTACACTGAAAGTTAAAGGGAGTATTAGTGCTACAACTCCAGTGAATTTTTTTGTGAGCATGTTAATGTTTATGTAAGCAGCATAAACTTAAGAGATCTGCTCTTAAGTTTATGCAGGAAACATGAAGGCATGTAGAATTAGACAACACAAAGTATGTATCCTTTGGTTGTCTAATTCTAGACATTTTGTATTATTTATTTGATAATTCCCAAAATCTTGTTCCATGTCAATGGTCCCAAAGAAGGGTTATAGCAAACCTTATAATTATTGTAACGCTTTTGCAGTCTTGTTTGTTAAATACATAAAAGTAGACATAAAGGAGGCAACAGATGAAAGAGGAATAATTTACAAATAAGGGACCAAAACAAGAAAGGAAAAATTGAGATTTATACCACAGTGTTATTAGCCATTCTGTTACAGTAGTTCTGTTAGGCAGTAATGTTTTGAAAATATGCTTTCTATATACGAAAAATGCTTTGTAAGAGTAAGCAGAGACAGCATTGTCTTTAGTAAGCTGGAACTTTGGAACTCTGTTCTCAGGAGGAGCAGGCGTTAAAGGACCAGTTAAGAAAGACTATATGGATATGTTTGAAGTGCAACTTTGGGTTGTCATGCGTAAATAATAGATGGAGTCTTTTCATGTTTCTCCTATGCTTTTAGACCTCTGACTGAGGAAGAAATTGCTGACTTGAAAGACAGACATTATGACTCCATTGCTGAAAAGCAGAGAGTTGTTGATATGAAAATTCAGTCAGAGGTAAGCAGTTACGATGACTACTGGTATGGTATGGATAGCTTTTCTTTAAAAGTAGTTAAGATCAACCATGGACACAAGGAGATGCCATTCGCATGAACAAAACAACTGGGTTTTGTTCATTGGTTGGCATTTTTTAGTCTGCAAGATACACAAAGAGATTGCTGCGCAACTAAATTTGCATCAGATTGCTTCATTTTAGTAGCTGCTTAGCTGAAAAATTGGGTGGCTCTCTGAGATCTGTAAATTTGAAGGTGCTTTTTTTTTAACAAGAGGCAAAATGGGGAGTATACTTGATTCAACTTTTCTTGTTCTCAGTTTTTTTCAGAGCTTTTCTTACAGAAAAAAAATGTAATTTGTTGGTTTTTTTAGTTTGCAGCAATCAATTGAATATGGTGTGGAATACAATGTAGAAATCGAGAGTGATTTTTAATAAAGTACCAGCAGAATATACAACTGAAAAGATTTTAGTCTTTTGCCATGCAGTTTATAATAAAATGCAACATGTATTTACAGCAATTCACTAGTAAGGATGTTTGTTCAATAGGGTAATGTTTAGTTAACTAAATTTCTTGGGATGTTTGGTGGGGGTGGAAGCTGTTAGATTCAGTTAATGAAGAAAAATGTTTTAGCTATAGTCAATTTTATTTTATTTTTATTTTCTGGTAGCTTTTCTTTTGTTTTATTGAATTTATGGATTTATTCATAGGAAGATAGATAGGTTCTGCTTTTGTTAACCATTACTATTTTGTTTATATACAGTTAGCCTTACAAGAGGAGAAGTTAAGAATAGAAGAGGAGGCTTTATATGCTGCACAACGTGAAGCAGCCAGGGCAGCAAAGCAGAAAAAGCTCTTGGAGGTGAGGGGAAAAAGACCCCAATATATATCAGAGCTTCTGTTCTGTTTCTATGTATGCAGACTTTCCTAATATCCTTTACATCTCAGGAAATGTAATGAGGAAATTGCTTTGGCTTTTAAAATCCAGTAGAGAAAGAAATACACAATTTGAAAGTACAGCTGACTAAAACAGCTGAAAAAATATCAGAATTATTTGAAACAGCTTATGTTGCTGAGTATAGATTTTTGAATGAGATGTATGATTTGAACCTAAAATTAGTTTAACAGACTTCTTACATTATGTAGAAGTTACTGATCTTTAATGTAAAGTGATTTGTGATGGTTTTCCAGTAAAAAAAACCCTGAAATTAAGCATGCATGAATCATTTAGACTTGTAATGTACTTTATAGATTTGTGCACTGAATTGTTCCTTATCTCTCTGGTTTGTGTTAACACGAAGATGTGTGTTTCCAAGTCATCCGAATTTACTGTTGATCCTGCTTTGAGCAGGAGGTTGGACCACATGACCTCCTGAGGTCCCTTCCAACCCGAGTCGTTCTATCATTTTGTGATTTGTATGTCTAATAGCCAAAGTAATGACTTAACAGTAGTCTTTACTTAATATACCTGTCCCTACTTCCACAGGTCTGGTGTCCATGCTTTTGGAGCTTGGTCAAGCAAAACAAAAGCCATGTTACGTTTTCCTGCTTTTTCAAAAACAGATGCTGTTCTGTGTCCTGATAGCATTTATTTCTGATGGTTTTCATGTTGTAGTTCAGAGTTACATATTATCAGTGCATTTAATATTTTTGCCATCTTAATATGCTATTACAGTATGTGTTCTCACACAAATTTCAGATTGCCAGAAATGTATATGTTAAAGAGCATTTTCACTTTTCACTATCAGTTAATCTATAATGTGTATAGCTGCAGTTGTAGCATGTTCAAGGAAACTGTCCACTAGACATGTGATACGTGTTCAATTAGAATTGTCAAAAGTTCAGATTTAGACTAATTGAAAAAGTCTGAAATCTATAATAGGCGTGGGGCAGATCTTTAACCCTAGCATATTGTCTATATTCAGAAGAGAGTGATTTGAAAATTGTTATTTCCAGACTGATAGTGATGACTGAATTTTAATCTAATATTTATGTTGCAAAATATAGGTCTTCACATTTCTCTTTCTAACCTCTTTTCATTTGGTATGGGAGGATTAATTCTTTCTGACCTTTTTTGGCCTGCTTTTTCTTTATTAATACTTTGAGTTGATATAAAGTCAGCAAAAGTAGATTGGTTTATGTCTTTAACTTTTTTTTTTTTTTTGTGGAAGTTTTGTGCAAGAAATGCCATTTTTCTTGTTTTTCAGTATTTTTAACGTGTACCTCTTAGTCAGGACATAAGATAGAATGCATTATAGATATTTTAATTTTCTCCTCTTGTAAAATTAGTAACACTTATCTCCTTTACAAACAACCTCCCCCCCCCCATATAAAGATTATAAGGATTTTTTAAGGAAGTGGTTTTGTATAGATGTACCTCAAGCATCTAGCCTTTCTAAATAAACTAGGAGCCATTTCTGAATACATAACACGTCTCTGCCATTTGTGGGCAGAAGTCTTCTAAATGAGAAAATGGCTTTTTCAGGGGAGGTGTGGCATCCCTTTAAAACTAATTTGACTTGCTGATGTTGCCCTACTAAATGTCAGGGTTTGTAACAGTGGAGAATTTTAATATATGTGTATCCTGGAAATTACAGTGCTAGTTATTTGACTGTGACCTGGCAAACTGGGTAGGTAGTTTAAATTTGATATAATGTGGGTATATGAGTCTTAAACAAAAAGTGTTACGTAACTCAGTAACTGATTTTTACTGACTTTTTAATTATGTTGGTGCCAAATTCTTGTCTCTTTCTCCCTGCGTACTTAAGTCTTCTCACCTATAACCACCATTATGTGATATTTCTACCTCTACACTTCTCATTTCCTTACTGGTTTCAGTCTGCTTATTCTGATATTTATTTAAATAACTAAAATGGAAAGTGTGCCAAGAGACAAAGCCATCATCAAAGCAATCATTTTGGATTGAAAAATACTAGCTGATCCAATAGAGTTATCTCACAAGACTATTTACCCAGTGAAGAGCAATTTTTAGATGAAGTTAAAGTTGACATTAAAAATTCTGTTTTATTTATTCCTGCTTTTCTTTTGCAGGGACAGATCCATTAAGGCTGGGAATAGATTTTTCAGAAAATACAGTAGCTAAGTTTTATAGACAAGTCTCATGAATCAACTCATTAATTTTTACCTTAGTCTGTCATAATCAGTGAACTGCTTCATAACTGATTTACCTTTAATCAAATAGTTGATGTGCCCAGTTTTTATGCTCTATTTTTTTCAAGGCAGGGAAGAGAACCTTGAGACAACTTAAGTTGTTTAAACCCTGAAACTTAAGCAGAACCCTACTTCCATGACATCTGTTTTTCCTCTTGTACCTACAAAATAAATGCATTTATGGCTTGTGTCTTGCATTTTTAATTCTTATTTTTGCCTAGTGATACCATGAAAGCTTTCTGCCTTGAGAGTGTAGAGTTGTTATAATACTTTTGGCCCAGCAAGGCAACAAAGCTCTTATTAATATAAATGAAGCACTCTAGTGCTGATAGAGCCAACCAGGGGAGATGGCAGTATTGCTTTGTACAGGGATAAAAGGACCTGTAGGAAATACTTATTTTTACATAGTAGGCTGCCTGCGCTTGGGCACTGAGCAAAACAAATCAAACATAACCCAGATCTGTGCGTTGAAAATACCTGTGGCTTAAGAAGAAAAGATAATAGGGGGCAGATACAATCATGAATGAGGTGGTGTTGACCTGTTTCTAGACAAACTGGTGGTTTGGGGGTTTTTGGTGCATGGAACAGGTTAAAATGTTGAGAGCTCTATTCACAAAGTTACTTTTGCTTAAATGGAGAAAGTTTTGAGATTATAAACTGTACCACTTGCATGTAACGGTCCCTTCAGTATCGTAGAATTTGATGTGTATTTGAATGAAAGTCAGTCTTTTCCTGAGTTGTACTTGAACTGCTCCAAGGACCAGAACACCGCTCCTTGTAATGTCACAGTTAAGGGAATGCTTAGTGCATTGAGTATATTAGTCTGAGTGATTGCATTCAGCTTTTTCAACAATTTACTTCTTTCAATAGCAACGTAGACAGCAAAGGATAACACAGAGGGCGCATGCTGTTAATAATGGAGAATACCAGAGGTAAGATATAAAATTTGGTTAATGATAATCAAGAACCATGACTGGCTTTATTCCTGTTCCTCATCTTCCCCTCAACACTCCCCCACAGCCACACCCCCCTCACACTCCCCCAGAAAATATTCATGTGTTTTTCAAACTTTGCATATGCAGCGTTTGTAAGTCAAAGTTGTTTTAATTCACTGCTGTTTGCTTCACACTGAATAGTTACTGAATACAAACTGGTTACCATTAATCTGCAAAATTAGAGGGTAGATTGCACTCATTCTGGTTTTCGCTGTAGTTATTAAACTGATGCATATTAAATTGAACTTACTCCCAGCTACTAATATATATTAAAAAGGTGCTTATGTGTAAAATCTCAGGCAATAGAAAAATATTTTTATTATTCAGAACCCTGTTTGAAATACACAGTAAAAATATATGCTAATGAAATGGGGAAATTTAATGTCTTGTATAGTCTGCCTGTTTTTTTCACTATTACTATTAATTTATTTCTCTTTACTCCCACCTTCTGTGTTCAGTGTTATGGCGGGGGGGACAATCACCCTACACCCCTGTAAGAAATTTATTGTGGAATTGTATTTGAGTTTAGAAGAAACTCTTAAAATCAAGCACCTATTTTAGAATGGAAGAGAAGGGGGATAGGAGGGATTTTCAGTTAGGGAAGGAAAGGAGCTGTGAAAACTGAGGTTTTATGACATGAGTAGGAGCTAGCCAGATTTTAGAAACAAAGGATTGCAGTAGCAGGATTTGAAATCAGTAGTTAAAAAAGGAATTGAAAATTAAGGAGGCATTATGTAAAGTGACAGAGGATGAGAGGGCAAGAGTCATTTAGTGACAGAATTAATTATTCACTGAAAATATCACTAAATATTGAGCAGAAGCTCAGACTGGGGGAGGATATGATGAGTAAGAATAGAATAGTAGGACTAGAAAGGCATTTTGTAGATCATTTTATAAAGATTTTAGTTACAGATGTATATGTTTTGTAGCATAGAACTGGGGGGCATGTGGATTAATGCATCGTTAGAGGTTTATAAAGCTAAAACCAAAACGTGCATTGTTTTTACAGCACTGTGGCAGAGGAAGATCTTGATTCTTTCTTAAGAAATACAAAATTCCAGTATGAAGCTTTTCGAAGTAGTAGTAAGTCTTCCTTTTCTTAGTCATGTTTTTAAATGTTAAGTGACACTGAGGAGCACAGAGCGCTATTTCTTTTTCTAGATAAACATAATTTATTTATATTTTTTTACAAACAAACATATATATATATATATAAAAATATGTTTACATATATCTGTATAGAAAAATCTGATTGCAACTTTTCCTCTTTAATCCCTGATGCTTCAAGTATTCAAAAAAAACAGCATATACAACTTGTGCTACAGTCATTCCAGTTCTCAAAAGAACGTTCTGTAGTCAAACAAGTCCTGGGCATGGATTTTATTTTATGAAGGCTTTCCTACCATCTTTGTGGAGGCAACATCAATGCAGTGAACTTTTCTTGTAAAACCTAACTGTGTATTAAAGATGCAGATGTGCATGTATAGTTTTTTTTAATCATCGCTTTGCAAAATAATTCGAGTCATACTAATGTGTTGCCTTGATTTTGTTTTGGTTTTTTTTTTTGTTTGTTTTTTTTTGTTTTTTTCTAATGAAGCACAAGAGAGGATTTGGCTGCCTATATTTAAAAATTCCGCTAACAATTTAGAGGAAAACAGTTATATGAACTTATATCCATAGGTTTTGATGATTGTATGTGATAGTCCCTAAGAAGTTGGAGGACTGATGGTAATTCTTGTGTGAAGTCTTGCAAAAAACCCAAAACCAACTGTCCCCCCAGAAAATCCCAAACTACAGGCAGTGTTTCCCAAGACTAGCTTACAGCTTACTAAATTCCTCTATAGTTCTAATTAGTATTACTGTATGTTCTCTTGTAATATCTTAGTGATATTACTTAGTTGACTATTAAAAAGCTACTGTATACTCAATGAAGTGCTTTCTCAAATTTTCCTGAGGTTTAAAGGCCACAAAACACAATAAAAGCTTTCAAAGAAAGTTTTAGTTTTGCATATTGAACCTCAAATTCAAATGTGTTTACAAATTAAAAATATATTTTTTTTATATAGGACTTTCATCTGATGCTACAGTGCTGACACCCAACACAGAGAGCAGTTGTGATTTAATGACGAAAACAAAATCAATGAGTGGAAATGATGACAGCACTTCTTTAGATTTAGAGTGGGAAGATGAAGAAGGTATTTATTCTGCCTTTCAGTTTTGTTCTGAATTTACAAATTAAATGCTGACAGTTTAAACATTGATTGTAAATGTGTCCTTTTCAAAAGGGAAGGTGATTTAAAACTTAATTCTGATGGAATTTCTGTGAAGTGTGTAGTGATTAAACTAAATAATTTTTACCTAGAAAATTGCTTATTCTGATAAATGTTGTTATCTGTCTAATAATTTAATTAATTTCTTTGGATCCTTCAGTACATGTCTTTTCCTGCATTTTGTGAAACTGGCTTGTAAGCACACAACAAAACTAATGGTAAAGAAATGCTGCCCTCTGGTGAGCCAGTAGCAGGAGGAGCAGCTTGTTCTTTGCTTTGAAATGTGGAAGTTGGTCAGGAGTCTCTGACTGCAGTATTTTGGGAAGCATTGCTTCTTTAAACCCTAATTACTTTCATTGTCACTTCTACTGGAAACTTAGGTCTGCATTGCAGGCAAGTATCCCAACTACCCCAATTGCTGCTGCTGCTGTTTGCTATAGTTCTTTTCTTTCTCTTTTCTAAATCTGCAAAACTCTTGTATTTGTTTGAAAGTTAATCCACAATTTTGAGACCTTAACTCTTGAAAAGCTCACCCAAAATAAGCTTTTATTTTTTTTTTTTTTTTTAGCCAACGCATAGCAGATTTTTTATTTGCTTTAGTAGACTGCTTTCTGACAATCTGTGTGTAGTTTAAATGTTTAGCACTGCCAAGAGCACTAAAACATCTAGTGCAGAAACCTATTTTGAAAGACTTAACTTTCACAGATTTACCCAGAAATACTCAGCATCTTGTTTTTAGCTAGTGTGTACAAGAGCTATTAGCATTCTAGAGGAACTGAAGCTAAGGCAGGATCCCTTGAAGGACGTTGGAGCACAGTCGATTTTATGTTGAGAGTAATTAGCATCGGTGCAGAAATAGTGTTCTGGGAACACTGTGTTCTACACTGTGCTTAAGAATGTTACCTTCCCATTTCCTTGGTTTTTTACAACTTGAGTTGTCCTCCCACTCTTATGAGTTAGCTTAATGTAGTACCTTTCTAAATAACTTGAAAACCAGATGAGAGAAAAATTCAGTCTACTAGCATACCTGTGTGCAAAATTATCTTGCTCGTTTGAGTGACTGAGGGTCTTGTTGCATACAGGCTTGTATTAGTCTTGTGGTTAGCAAATTTAACTTTATACAGAATTAAGTCAGTGATGTTTGCTATTCATTGTTCACTTACCACTGTCACATTGACTTAGCCCTCAGTATTCATCTGGTTTTGATGTAACTAAATAGTGAGTGTTGAGAAGTACCAAAAACTGCCTAAAACCAGAGAAAAAAAAATGCCGCATGGTTCCATTTCTGATTCCTATTAGCCTGTGCTCTACAAAGGGAAATCATTTCGAAGAGTTGGTCATTGTGATGGCAGTGCCCTCTCTTCTCCCTGGTCACCTTAAATCTTGAGCAGAAGAGATGTTAAGGTAACCTAGGGAAAACTGCTTATGCGTGAGAACATAACCAGGTTTTGTGGCTGCAAAGGAAGGAATATGGTAATTTAAAAGAAGTACTAGTCAATATTGTAAGGACTTTGAGTAGTTTTTAGCACGTTCTTGGTAGATCTGGCCCAATTTAAGTATATTACAACCATTTCCCTGAAGGGGTTGACTGCTTGCTTGGGGTAAGAGATTTAGTTACTGTGCGTGCTGTCAAAATCTACTGTGAAGACTGAACAACTCCAAAAAAGTAAGTGTATGAGGGGAAGTTCAGTGATCTAGGGTATTCATTTATGGTCTAGTTACACATTTCTACTATTAGCAGACAAAGTTGTATGGGATCTGAACACAAAGTAAGGAAGAGACAGTGTTTTGAAAGGATATTAGCCTTAAAAAAAACAACAACTTAAGAATGGTAACAAAAAGTGATATTGACTGAAAAGGTGCCAGATTAGGAGGTTCTTAGCAGGGAGTGTCTAGATCCTGAACTAGGTATGATTGTGTATTATTACTAATGGTAGTGTTTAACGGTTGTGTAATGGTAGCACTGAAGTGGGACTGTGGATTGGAGCTGAGCACAGCAGATGCATACTTTCTGCCTCACAGTGTTGTAGTTTTTATCGAGTATTATACAAAAAGACAAAGGGTGTGAGGAGAAAGTTGTAAAGCCTTCCCTTTTTCCTTTCCAGTGGTGTGGGAGGGTTTTGATGCATTCTGAGAAAGTCTGTAATTACTGACAAAATAAATAGCATCTCTGATGTCCTGGTGCAGTTTTCTGAGCAACGTTTTGTTTTATTTTGTGTGAAATTAGATACACCTTTTCAGACAAACTGAAGACCTTTCCTAGACAAACGCACCGATGATCTATCTAAATTTTAGCCGCTGTTTAAAATGGTTCGTGTGGTGATGTTCCATCTGTTTATTAGTAGGCTACAGAGTGTTACAGGATTCCCCAGACGTCTAGCTTTTCTAGAAACGGCACAATACCAAAACTCTTCTAATATTTACATGCCCATAATGTAGGGCAGCAGGGTGCATACATTGGAGAAATAAACAGTGCCAATCCGTTGTTTCACTATGTTGTCTGTCTTCCTTAGAACTCTGTAAAACCACATCACTAGCTGTTGTGTTCGTTTGGGCCAAAACTGACTGCAAACTATGGATTTCATGTGAACACCACTACCAGAAAAAATACAGCAGTGCTCAGGAGTGAAATTACCAAAGCTTGGATCTCCTAAAGGATTCTTGTTTGTTCTCTTCTAACGTTCTAACACAAACGTGAAGGTACTTCCCTCCAAACTGTCTTTTGTCATAAACATGTTTTTCATCGCAGGCATGAACAGAATGATTCCAATGAGAGAACGCTCCAAAACAGAAGAAGATATACTCCGGGCGGCACTGAAATTTAATAGCAGGAAGACGGGAAGTAATCCAGCTTCAGCCTCTGACGATTCTAATGGATTGGAGTGGGAGAATGACTTCGTTAGCGCTGAAATGGATGATAATGGCAATTCAGAATATGCCGGATTTGTAAATCCTGTTTTAGATTTGTCTGCATCAGATGTGAGGATATCCGATTCTGATCATCAAGACAGATAGTGAAACTGCGTGGCCCTTGTTTGTGACCAAATGTTGGAAGGTGAAACAGAATGTACAAAACCAATTTGCTCTTTTATAACGTGGTTCCCTTCTTCTTACAAATTGATCAGCAAGGAATGGGAGTGACTTGCTATCTGAATTAATTCAGAATTAAGTGCAATTTTATCATCTACCTTCTAAACTTTTATGAAAACTGGGATGATTCTATTGTGTATATTTCTGGATATCTGGAACTAATAGAAAATTATCTGCACTAATTTAAGCTTCATAGCTTGACATATCTATATTTTAACTAGCCTTTTTTTCCAGATGATGTTTCTACTGATTTTGTTTTTAAAATTCATCATTGGCCTAACATTTATCTTGGAAAAAGTCTTATATAATTTATCTAATACTTGAATATAGAAAAATAATTTTAAAAAAACTTTATTTCCAATATGTGCTTTTTGACTTGTTCTTTAGGTGTTTAAAGGGTGTACTTAGCCAGCTACAAAACAAATTTCACACATGGTAAATTGCAGTTTTTCCCTGTCTAGCTTATAGTCTTCCAAGCCTTGTGTTGTCCTCTTTCCATTTTTTAGTACTTTATGCTAAGCACGGTTAACCTCAATAAACATAGTATAAATCACCAGGTTAGGTAAGATATTGTCTTTTATAATATGCCAGGCTTAGTGTGTGCTAGATAGAAAAACAATTTTAAAAATTCTTTATGCGTCAAACTGGAAATTTTAACCAGTATCTAATGGATTACTGGGAGGACCAAAGTCTTGATTTCACTGCTTCCCATTTCCCATCCCCCACCTCCAACAGGCCAACATCTATTACCACATGGTCCTTAAAATTCTTTAGTTGTGGAAAACACAATTCAGCTCGACTGGAACAATTATTGAAAAGCAGCATTCTCTGAGCAGAATGGAGAAGGGATGATTGCTCTGCTGCTGGGGTGGGAAGAGCAAGAACCTAAAGACTGAATTCCTATATCTGCGTTTTAAAAAGAAAAAAAAAATCAAGTTACAAACCAGTGTATTTAACTGCTCTAGCTTTCCTGTGCCTCTAAGCTGGATGGTTAATACTGCTGGTATGGACTGAACTTCAAGAAGGTGTTCAGTTATTGCAAATCTGGTGTAATGTATTGTGTGGTCTCCCCCAATATTTAATGTAAATTCTACTTTTTTTTTAAAAAGCTCCCTGAAGACAACATGCAAACCACTTTGTAGATTTCAAGCTTTCTCCAAAGTTTCAGTAAAGCCATTCTACTCTACTGTTATTTTGTGTAGCTGTCTTATTTTTCCCTGAAAAAAGGGGCGTAACTTCACCATTATGAAGTAAAAGCAACACATTGTGTTAAGTAGTAAATCTGTCTCATCAGAACTGAATTTGTCAGTGAAAGTTATATCACTGTTTTAGATCAGCTGAGCCTATATATAATATTGGGGTCGCTGCAGTGTGGTCCTCTTCGTGATAACTTGAACAAAAATACTGCACACTTGGATTATGTACAAATATCAACATTAATGAACAGATAAATCTTGTTGATAACATTCCATTTCTTAATTTAAATTGTAGCTATGTCATTGGAAATATTTTAATGTAATTATCTACGTTTGCAATGCCTGTAATAAGCTTTAAAAATTTGTACACATCAAATGTATATTTCTGGTTTGGCATAAGCTACTACTGTGTAACTTCTCCTGAACATTTATTTGTATAATATATTCCTATGGAACTGAAGGCAACTTTCTTGGCATGTAAATAACATGAGGGTGGTTCCTTTTTTTTTTTTTTTTTTTGTTACTGTAACTTATCCTGCAGTGGTCACTACTTTTCCTGACCAGTGAACATGAGGTTAACTTGTCCTGACCATGCTTGGAGGAAGTAAATTAGCTGATAGTCCTGCTTGTAGCATAAACAAGCAGTCGGGGAAAAAGGAAGCTGGTGCAGCTGAAGGCTTTTACTGTGATGGGCATGTTGTGTAGCCAGGGCTAAGAGCATTCAGCTTTTCAGAGCTCAGTGCACCACACTGAGTGACTTAAATTATGGTCAATATTTGCATAAGTTTTAAGAAATTGAAAGGTTATATAAACAGCTCATGTGAAAATTCAACAGGACTGTAAAATACGTATCTGTACAAATTGAAAGTCATTAAAATTTTCAGTCTTACATTTGGCAATGTTTTATCTGTTGCTGGTGTTGTAGCTGCCATGTCATACATAGTGAAAGCGTGTGTGAAAGCAAATTGGTAAAAAGTTGCCCAAAGTTACCCATGTGTCAGCTAACTAAGGAAGGTTTTAATAAATAATTAGCTGTGCCTTTAACTACTGAATTTCCATAGCATCCCTTCTTGAGACCTGTTGCTTTGGAGGGGAAGTTCTAATGTGATGTGATAACGGAGGGCTTGAGGAGGTTGGAGCATGGAGCCATTCCTGTCGGCAACGAGCAACTGTGCCCTCGTATTTTGAAGGTAAGATAACCTTCCTTGTGTAAGGGGGGCAGCTTCCCTGCTTTCATGTCTGCCTGAGCGAGTGCTCCATTTGTTGACTTAGTCGATTGTCCCTGTATATAGGAAATACCGTGGTTTTAATAGGAAACTATTTTTCATTCCAGGGGAATGTTTTACGAAGTTGCTGATCTACTGGTTATACATACGTTTCTATGCTACAGTTGAGCCATTGTCGAATAGAAAATCATTTGATGTGACTCTTTGGGCAGTCTGTTCAGTGTTACTTGGTTAAGCATGAAACTGGTGTTGCAGCATTGTCTTTTACTATTGCATGATAGTGACTACTAGGGCAGCTGAGCCAAGCAAAAAACTTACAAAAAATGTTAGCTGCTTTTGTTTGTGTAGTATTTCTTAGAATTAAGTTAGCAGTATATGACTAATGGCAACCTCAGGTTGGGGGGAGGTGGAATTTGGTTCTGGTGAACAAAGTATGTTCTGATATGCCTTATACTGAAACAACTTCAGTTAAACTAGCTTCTGGTCAAATCAACACAGTGATAACATCCTCCTAGGAGAGAATTAACTTTTTCATGCATATTTTGGGATTGATTCTTGCCCCAGGAAAATATATGTGTACAAATGATTAGTGTTTGGAAACCATGAAATTGCTACGGGTCTTTTTTTTTGTTTGTTTTTTTGTTTTTTTTTCATTCTCAAGGTTTTTTCGTGGTTCCTGGAGATGTGACTAAGGAATGCTTTGCTATAGATTTGTGGATATCCGTAGAGCCCCTCTGTACAGAGTGACTACAAACTCTGATGAGATGCAGCACTCAAAACTCTGCAGACCAGACAGATTTTTCTCAGGTAAGTACTGTTTGTAGACTGTTCTGTTTATATACTGCACTTGAAAATCTGAGATTGGGGTTGTCACTTTCTTTAGATAATAGCCCAGAAAGTGTAAGCAATTAATATGATCAGTGCTGTAGGTTAATGGCCTGTGTGACAGGGTCAGTGAATAGAAATTGGGTAACAATACTGATTAGTGGCAGTATTAGCAACCTGGTTTTTAAGCACAAAGCAGTACAAAACAAGAACTTGCACGCCATCCATGATAATTTAAGAGCACTAATAGGAAGAGAGCTGCTTACTGGGAATGCAAAGCTAATGCGCTCTCCTCCTTCACAGATGAGCCAAATTAGTGAACATAAGAAATCCCCTGCATTTTATATGAGAGGCTGATGTCATGTGAAAGCTTTTATATGGAAAAGCTTATTTCAGATTATATTTGCATCTTGCTTTCTCTCTAGACAGCTTGCATTTGCAGGTATTAGCCACTCTGTCTAATTAAAGAGTAGGAAGACTCAGGTCAAAAGCATATAAAAGCCAAGCAGCCAGCAGCTACTGGAAATCTGCAACCAGTAGCACCATGCCTGCTGACATGGTGATACCTGCTCAGGTTTGTTTTGTCAAACTGAGGGGTGTGTCAGAGGTGTGTGTGCCAAGATGGCAGCTGAATTGCACATTGAGGCCAGAGACCATAAAAGTAAAGTAAGTGCCAGAGCCTAGCTCAAAGAGTGGAAGACATGGGAACAGGTTTGCCTTTTTTTTTTTTTCTTTTTTTGCAAGAATGAGATGAATAGACAAATTAAATTCTAGCTAAGCCTGTGTTTGAGTTTCATTACCTCTCCTGTGACTCTCTTGTTTCTTGTTGTTTGCCTTAATCTTAAATTACATTGTGTAATTCAGCTGTCTTCCCCTCTGTTATAATTCTGTTTTTCCTGTAATGATTAATGCTGTAATGCATCCTAATGTTTAGGGATGGTAAGATGGGTAACTCGTGTATGCTCGGTTCTGATTCTTTCCTGTGTGTCTTTCAAGCAAACTAAAATACTTGACAAAAAAAAACCAAGTGCCAATGAAAAGCTGAGCCCCTAGCAAAGAAAAACTAAACTGAATCAACCTGAGCAATACTTAAATGAAAACAAAATTGTAAGAGAGCTTGGTGTGGTGGGTAGAGGTAGAAAACTTGCTGAAAGCATTTTAGTCAACTCTTATCTTGGAGCAGTGACATGTTTAGAAAGCCCAGAATAGCACCAGTGAAAATTTCTTACCTGGATTATCCTGGAAATAATTTTATTCACCGTAAGTGCTTTTAGATTGTAGTTGTAGAAGACAGCAAATCCTTACTAGGCAAACAAATGCTTTTATTACAAATTTTATCTGGATTTTTACATACCATGATCACTGACAGTGAATACTTTATTTATATTCACAAGCAAAAGTAGTTCACTGGCAAAAAAAATACAATTTTTAATTAATTTTTAAAATAGAAGAAAAATCTCACTGCAAAGTTGGTAAAAACATTAAAGGACTATGCTGACAGAGTGTTTCTGAGCAGCAAAATCTGGCAAGCTACAACCTAGGCTTGAAAATACGGTTTGGAATTTCATGTCAAAAGCAAAGCACAAAGTATGGCAAATGCAGTGAGACATTATGTCCCTACTTAGCTAACCAGTGCTGGGGCTAAAATACTGTTCTGCGTGCTCTGTATTAATGCCTGTTAAATAGACCTTTAAGGCCTGTGGTCACAGTTCTGGAATTGAATCTGCTGCGATGGATTTGAGTGGCCCTCTGTTTCCCACGTGTTTGTGTGGCAAACAGTGGGGATCAGAGAACACGTGTGCCCTGGTGAAGACGGTGGCAGGAATCTGTTTCTGTTGAACAAAGTACGTTCTGGTATGCCTGGGCTGAAAACAACAAGCAAGAAGACTGATGTGCAGCAGTGAGAACCATCAAGAACAGTGGACTGGGATGGCAGCCTTCAACTTCTGAAGTTGTGCAGGTTTCAAATGATCAAAATCTGATCTGGCCACCTTCTCCCTACTAGCATGACTCATTTTCATCAATCTCTATGGGGCTTTTGCCTTGGGAAGGAAATGAGGAAGAAGAAATGCCATTCTCTGGAATAGGTTGCAGTGATGGCGGGCACCTTTCTTGTAAGATTGGCACTTGAGTCAAATGTAAGTAAGTCTCAAAATAATCCATGCACTCCCCTTCTTGAATCTCTGCTAAAATCTGGTAGTCCCCAAAACAAATGATGCATCTCCATGGCAGGTCGATTTTGTTTAAGTATCCTAGTTCTGTTTGGTCCACAAACAGTTTTGTTTTCTTGCTCATGTTTTTTATCTCAAAACAAAATTCTGAGCTGTTCAGTTTTCTGTAAAACTGCACTGAAAACTGAATCCGAGAAACACGACTGTCCATTAAGTTGTAACGGCAGACACTAGAATCACGGCCAAACTTGGCCATTTCATCTGCCCTGACCTGTTCTCGCTTACAGAAATTCAAGCAACGAAACATCATCTTGTCTTCTTGGCAAGGATGGTAAAAGGTCATGTGGAGACACGTCACTGTTTCTTCAGTTTCAGCTTCTTCAAAAGAGCTCATGATGAAGTGAGTCCTCAGAACTACAAAAAAAAAAAAAAAAAAGTAAAAGCAGAGCATGACAGCACTGTAGTACCAAAAAAATGGCTTTGGCATGGCATTAGAACACTTCATCTACGGTTGTACAGTGGCTTTATATAACTTATAGCAAATAGGTGGGCAGTAAACGTAATGAAACCACTGGAACGAAGAAGTAGGAGTTGAGCCTACCCAGTCCATGACAACCATTGCTTCCTGCCACTTTGCCAGCGCCGCGTTCGGTGACCCCAGCCAAGTGACAGACTGCTCTGTGCTGAGCTCTGCCCAGCAGTCAGTCTCACATCTGTCGCAGTGGCTGCGCGGCGCTCCAGAAGTCTGAAAAACACCCACGACTGTAAATTTGGTGCCAATTAGTTCTTCCTGGGAATCTTGCAGGTGGATTTATCTTTGGAAGAAATATGTCACTTTAGTGGTGGCAGTAAGGTTTACTGTATGGACTTAAAATACGGCATTAAGTAGTGCTGTCTGGGCCTGCGTGCTCCATTTTACAGTCCTTGGACTAAAAGGTATCAGACAAACAACTTTTGCAAAAGCAGTCATACTGTGGGCAATAGTATTTCAGATGCATAGTAGTACTCTTTTGGCTCTTTGGTCAGAATTTACCTTTTCTGTAAAACAAAATACACTGTTTGGAAGTGACTGTATTTTGTATTTTGGCTTGTGTTTTTCTTAAGGCTAAATTATACCAGTGTACATAAATTCCAGGCACAGTGAATGGTGGTATATCAGTGCATCCCTTTGTGTGAAACCTCAAAGTCACTTCCTTCTTACACCTTCAACACCGTAAAAGCAACAGCTATGACACAGTAGTTTAGCAACCTCAGCTTGCTTACTGGAGTAGGCTACTACTGTGCTTCTACCAAGCTTAGATGATTAGAGAAATAGAAAATTTCAAGTAGCTCTCGGAGCTCCCTTCAAAACAAACTGGGAAATATCATCAGCGCTTTTAACAGAAGTAGAGAGACGTGCCCTTGATGGCAGGTTACTCGCTTGTAGCCATCTCTTGTAGCCATCTCTTGTAGCCATCTCTTGTAGCCATCTCTTGTAGCCATCTCTTGTAGCCATCTCTTGTAGCCATCTCTTGTAGCCATCTCTTGTAGCCATCTCTTGTAGCCATCTCTTGTAGCCATCTCTTGTAGCCATCTCTTGTAGCCATCTCTTGTAGCCATCTCTTGTAGCCATCTCTTGTAGCCATCTCTTGTAGCCATCTCTTGTAGCCATCTCTTGTAGCCATCTCTT